GGGAGTTTACTTTTATTAATTTACAAATCTCTTGCTGAATCACTGTTTTGTTATGGCATTTTGGTTTGGGGAGGAATGTATGGTAACGCACTGCAAAAACTGAATGTAATTCAAAACTACATATTGAAGATAATTTATAGAAAACAAAGAAGATATACTACTAGTCTGCTCTATACAGAGGAGGTATGTAATATTCGCACCTTATACTTTCATAAAATATGTATCCATGCATTCAAAAATTTCCCTACTCAAATTCAATGTAACTCTGTGTATCAGACTCGTAGTACATCGAATGAGTTATTGTCAACTCGTAGATTTAATAAAGGTATTTCCCATAGATTCTTCATTTATACTGTCCCTAAAGCTTTCAATATATTGCCAATGGAGATCAGAAAAATCCAGAAATATAAATTATTTGCAAGGGAATCGAAAAAATATATTTTTCATAATTTGATAGCATTTGATAAAATTTTGAATTAAGTAGTAGTAGTAGTACCAACCAACCTAAGCTACTGACTTTCTGTTTTCTTTTAGGTATATTGCACATTATGTATATTATGTACACTTCACTGTATTGTAATTGTAACTATAAATTAACCATTCTTAGGTATAATAAATTTGTAATCTAGTTTATAATCTCAGCACAACACAAGTGTTAAATCACTTAGGTGCTTTTTGAAGAAAAAAAAAAAAGATGTATTGTACTTCACATTGAATATTTATATACCCATTGTATACCTCTGTAGTGTGAAATAAATAAATAAATAAAGTTTACAATTTTTTTTAATTTTGGCAGTTTTGTTCCAACTTTTAATAAAGACGTGTTGGGGTCGTAGTGCAACAAATTCTTAATTGTGATTAAGTAAACAAAATTTACTCTTTTAAGTAGGTATTCAAGTTTAAATAATTATCATTATGTCAGAAACTGTAGCTCTGTTCCAACCGACATGAGAACCGTTTTTACCGATTTTCAGTCGATCAATTCATTTTTCAAGTAGGATGAACTCATTGAAAAATAGGTGGGCAACTGGAAATCACTGGTTCTGGAACGGTTCTCATGTCGGTTGGAACATAGCTATGCTACAGTTTCCGACATAATGAGAACTTGAAAAGGTGAATTTTGTTAATCTTCAGAATGCAAGTTGTGTAAATGAATAATTAAAACGACAGGACGTTTGCGCAGTTATTTTCAAAATAATATTTAAATATCTTCTGACTTGTTATGTTAATCTTCTAATAATAATGTTTAAATATCTTTGAAAAATATTATTAAATAATTTGATACTTGATATTTGTTCAATTTTAGTCAAAACCCTTTAAATTTGGTACTATGTATATTATGATTTATTTGCAAAGTCACCCAGGATTTTGCGGGATTCCGCAAATACCTGGATCCCGCAGGATTGGAAATGTCCAGTCCCGCAAATACCGGGACTGGAATTATCTTGCGGGATTGCATTCCCTAGGCATAGGGTATATCACATGAAATCTGCTTTTACAGAATTTTACGTAGAATCCAAATATACAATCAGATACAGGGTGTCTCATTTTAAATGAGCAAGTTGACAGCTACTTCTAGTATAACCGAAAGTCAATCAATCAATCAATCAAAATATACTTTATTGTCGGAAAAATAAATTTCATTGACAAAGCATGATCTTAAATAATGTGCAAGTAATTAAAAATTATCGGGTTATAAAAAAACAAAAAGAGGTACAATCAATAAAATAAAAAATAAACATAAACATAAATGTCAAAGCATAATCCTAAGCAACACATGTACAATTTTTACTACATCAAACTATAGAGTCATATAGAAGGTACAGCCAATACAGAAAAAACATAAAGGTTGCGGTCAGAACAAAACAAAACAATGAAACAAACAAAATTAAAATTTTTCATTTAAAAATTCATTAATATGATAGTAGGCTTTTCCATGTAAAAATGTTTTGAGCTCTAGTCTAAACTTTTTAAAACCACCTATCTGCCTTAAGTTAACAGGCAGATGATTAAAAATTTGCCTACTTTTATAAATTAGTGAATTTTGCGCCAATGCAGTCTTGGGTATAGGAAGCTGAATTTTAAGAAGTTGCCTAGTTGGATAAGTTCTTGGATATTCTAACTCATCATAATGTTTTTTGTGCATAAGGCAAGCAGTTTCCATGATAAATATACAGCATACTGTAAGTATTTTATGTTTTAAAAATAGTGGCTTGCAATGCTCCCAATATCCAACCTTACACAAATAGCGCACTGCTCTCTTTTGAATGACAAAAACAGAATCAAACAATTTATTAGAACAGTTACCCCAAAATGCAATGCCATACCTGATATGAGATTCAACCAACGAGAAATAAACCAACTTAGCAGTATTCAAACCAAGTTCATTTGACGCTATTCTTACAGCATAGCAACCACTTGCCAATCGTTTGTTTAGATTTGTAACGTGCTCATTAAACTTGAGTTGAGTATCAACATGAACACCAAGAAATTTACAGCTAGTTTTATTTTCAATTGTGTGTGTCTAATAATAAATCATCAAAAAAAAATTTAAATGTCAATATGTTGGTTTTCTTAGAGTTAAAACAAAGCAAGTTAGAGTCACACCAGCTCTTTACAAGATTTAGGTCTTCAGAAATAATCTTTTTCAACTCTTCAATATTTTTTCCGTTCCAGGACAGAGTAATGTCATCAGCGAATGATGTTATTTTAGCTCTAATGGGGAGGTGATTAATATCATTTAAATAAAGTAAAAACAATATTGGTCCCAACACAGATCCTTGTGGGACACCATTGGTCACAGCCAAGTTTGATGACTGAGTATCACCAATCTTAACAAATTGTTCTCTTCCCGAGAAATAAGATTCAACCCATGAGTATGAGATTCCTCCGAAGCCATAAATTTCTAGTTTTTTAAGCATTATTTTATGATTTACGCAATCAAAGGCTTTAGAGAAATCACAAAACACAACGGAGACAAGCTCACTTTCATTAAGACTGACGAATACCTGTTCCAAAAGATTAAATATTGCATCATGGGTGCCCTTTAATGGTTGGAATCCAAATTGAGTGTCACTTATTATGTTGTGTTTTGAAAAATATTTCAACATTCTTTCTTTAACTAACTTTTCAACTATTTTTGACAACGTCGAGAGAAGTGATATTGGTCGATAATTACATGGGTTGTCCAAATCGCCACCCTTATAAACAGGCAACACAATAGCTTTTTTCAGGCAGTCTGGAAATACTCCTGTTAAAAATGAAATATTAATACATTCAGACAAGACATATAATGCATTATCAGGCAAGTTTCTAAGCAAATTTAATGAAACATTATCGTGCCCACTGGATTTATTGTTTTTTATTCCTCTAAAGATTTCATTAAGTTCTAATACGTTTGTAGTTTCCAGTACAAATGTGTCATTTATTAACCAAGTGCCACCATCTTGAGAATATTTTAGCTGGATTGCCCCCATTGACATTAGTATACTGTCAAATTTTCAAAAATTTTCTGCATAAAGTGCACCCTATAAGTGTTCTCCCAAGTGTTCTCCAATCTATAATTTGTGTGATAGATTCAACCTTTATGCCTCAGACAGATGTAGATATGAACACTATTAGCCTTAAAGCATTTGAAATGATAATTGACAGAAAATCGTACTAATCCTAGAATTGTATTTCTTTGTGTTGTAATTGGTAAGATTGTTTGTAGGGTTCTAATTTTAATGTATGTTACCTGTATATTTTTGTATTATTATTATTATTAGGTCAGTATCTGTAATTGGCGATGCTGTTCATACTTTAAATGAATATATAAATAAATATATTTAAATTTTTTATTATGTACTGATTATTTATTTGTACCAATATCTTTTACAAATGATTAACAAATAAATTATTGTAAAATATACTACAGGTAACAGTTTTTTCTGGATCTTGAAGGTGACAATCGCCAAAAAAAAACTGTTTAACCCTCGGGCGGGCGCGCATTTGAAAATCACATTAGCAGGCGCGCTGTGGCACTGCGTGCTGCCTGCAGAAAAATGTACGAAATGATTCAAAATATCAAAATTTATTTTTAAATAGAGTAAAAAAATTAAGTAAATGGTAATTCTAGGTAACTAAATGAAATCCTTAGCACTAATTTCGCAAAAACACAAAAATAATATTCATAATATTTGTACTATTCCCCTTTCAATTTTACTTACATGACCAGGCGCGCTGCCGGCACGGAATGCCGAAAACTCAACACCTCCAAGTTCAAGAACTCACTGACATCTGAACAAGTGCTCTAAGGTCGTAAATTGTGCGTAGTAGGTTGGCTAATATAGTCATTTTACCATAGCTAGATGGACAATATGATAAAATCCAAAATATTTGCGAAATCCTTGAATTAGTAAAAAGGCGGCATAAAAAGCCGGTAGCGCGCCTGCCTGAGGGTTAAACTAGATAAGAGTGTAAAATACTATGATTATAGGTACCTATTTGCTTTGAATTCTCCTTGTAAAAGCATTTGGTATTTATATACACAGAAGGCTCATCAAGTTCAGTTCTTTGAAGTGTATTGGTTTTAACATTAATTAGTATTCACTTGTTAAATAACAGAAATAGTCTCATCTCATTTCAATTGTGTTTAATGGGCCAAGGCACTGCACAATGCCATCTCATTGGTTTTCAAAAATTTAGCACCTCTATTAAAGAGTAAAATAGCTCATAACATATGTTAATCTTCTAATCAAATTGTTCCAATTACAAAAGAATTGATTTTTTTATACAAAGTCCTTTAGGTATCCTACAGCGTACTTGGATAAAAGATTATGGAATTTTATCAATGCTTACATAGACACTAATTTTCTACCAATGAATGCCAATTCCTGATAAAACCCGACATTAAAATTGGGGCCCTTGGGTATTGAAAATTAGGTTACTATTTCAGGAAATAGGTGATTACAATTATAAATAGTCGCAACGAGGAATAAACACGGGAAATGTTGGCTTACTTGCTGTGAATCGGCGTCTCCCATCTTTTTCATTGTCTTCTCCACAAAATATCACAAACACGTTTTTTTTTTTTCTAGAATAAAATTAATGTTTTCTCAGTTTTCCATTCATAAACGGAAAAACTTCAATTTTTCTGCTGATAAATCACCAATCACCACAGGTAGAAATCTCGATCCCTAACCTCAACCCGCAACCGTCAAAGCCTGGTGAAAGTAGTGGAGAGAGAGGAGTGGAGTGGAAGTGAGAACAAGAAAATGTAAGGTTGCTTGCTCGCGTAGTATATTTCCGCCCCCCCGCCAAAATCCCCAGAAAATTTTTCCAATTTCCACGCCGCGTAGAGTATTGATGGGAATTACGTCGCAGAACACCGCTGGCGGCATCACGAACCGCTTTCCAGCCACGAATTTTAAGGTGCTCCATACCCGTAGATTCAGACTCTGGTGCTCCAAGCAACTGTTGTTTCACTGGAAGGCAACCTACTTCTAAATGTCGTGTTTTTGATTCACCTATAAAATTGTTGGTGCTTGAGAGGGCAGGGGAGAGGAAAAAAGAACAGTTCAGGTGCGCGAAACTCTAATGCACTGGCCGTGGGTGCTCTGGAGCAGCTCAGAGTGCTTAAGGTGCGTCACACGAACGCGACTCAGGGGCCGAGTTCTTTTTGAGAGTCACAAGATCCTGCGCTATTCGTCCGGAGTCATTCGGAGTAACTCCCAAAAAAAAACGCTTTTTTTTTGAGTCGAGTGCTCCACGTTTGAAATTTGCTATTTGCTACTATTCCTCTGTGTTCTCACAAACTATAAAATCTCCACTTGCAGGATGAACTTATGGCCGACTTTTTGAGGACGTTGTAAAAAAATCACTAATGAGTGCTAGTTGCTCAGAATTGCTCGAAGTCACCCACAGCTAGAATGAACGCGGCATTTAACCTGAACTCGCTCAGAGTTTCGTACTCTGCAATTGCACCGAGCAAAAACCGGCCTAAAGGTGGTTCCATGCACCCCAGCATAGTGCGTGCAAAAGGATCACTTGCATCGCCCATAAATCTCAAAAGCTCGAAATCGGTCGTGCTCCGGATACAAATTATTGCTCTGGCCACGCTGAAGAACACGAAAAATTCTGCTCGATCATGATCTGGATCAGCAGCGAGAGGAATTTTTGCACTTTGAAGTGAAATCTCTTCTCACATGCTCGCAAATAAAACCAGAGATGGCGCCACTCAATTTTGTTAAAAACGTGATGAGTGTTGTCTTTTTCCAAAACAAACAAAAACAAATCTAATCAATCCCCTGATTATTGGTTTTATATCTCTTTAAAATTTTGAATTTGCGTTTTACAAAGAACTTCGATTTTTGATTGTTAAATTATTTTATGTTACCAATTTGTTGCAATATATAAGTAGACGAATTTGAGGAATAAAATGGACATTGGAGGTAAGCACTACAATTTACAATACAATACAAAGTTAATAGGTTTTCTGGTAATGGGCAAAAAATTAGGTCATCTGGGATGCCTGAGATTTGCATTATGTTTGGGCACCCCAGATGTCGTCATAAAAGTTATCAGACAACCTGTTCTTTCATTTCATACCAAGGGGTGTTTCACCTACCCAAAAATGTGTACGTCACTGCCACCACTGGTTAAGCAATGTTTTAATAACACTGCCTAGTCAAATGCCTATGGCGATTGCTGCGAACATTTCTGTCAATGCCGACAATGTCGCCATCAATATCAAGAATGCCAACATCAATGCCGTCAATTCCTCAGGTCAATTCCGACATCAATGCCGTCAATTCCGCGATCACTGCCTCAATTTCCCTTATTTATTTTATTTTTTTTGAAAACTGTATATTACCAACAATATTACAATATCATTAATGTTCCAACATCTTTTCTTAAATCAGTGTTAGAAACACTGGTCTCAAGAAAACAATAATAAAAATATATATAACAATGATTAAGTAGGCCTTAATTACTAATTATTAATTTGCTAAATTGCTAAGAAGTTGACACGTACCTACACCGAGATACAAAGTCAAAAATCCATACTCAAGTAAGTAGATTATAGAAAATCTAGTTGTTTAAATGAAGCAATAACAATTTTTTAAATAAATTGAAGTTTTCAGCTTGTTTAACAATAAGTGGTAAATTATTATATGCTCGCGATGAAGCATTGAGTGGACAGTTCACCCTACATTTATTCGGGTATATAAATGTTACCTTCAGATCTTGTACCATAATGATGTACTTGGTTTAGAAATGTCATGTCGAAATTGCATTTTTGAATGTTATGAATTATTTTATACATGAGATTGCTTTGCTCTAGTAACAGTATTTGATCTAACTTAAGGAATTCTAATTCTCTATATAATGCAGCTGTACTAGTTAAGAAATCATAATTGAATAGTACTTTTAGGATTTTATTTTGTTTTATTTGAATTTCTTTAAATGTGGTATTAGTACAAACTCCCCAAACAGGAATTAGGTATCTTAAGTGTGCCAAGAAGTAAGCGTTGTAAACATTTAGTTTGGTTTTGTAAGTGAGGTAATGTCGACATTTATAAATAACAGGTATCATTAAATTCAATTCCATCATCAAATGATCGACATGATTTTTCCAATTCAGAGATTCATCCACAAACAGCCCTAGGTTTTTAATAGATGTCACTCTTTCTAAATGTATGGTGCTAATTTTAATATTTATATTGTTCGATATTTTATTTTTTTGTGTAAAAATTACAAATTTTTGTTTTTTCAACATTTATTTTCAACTTGTTGGCATACAACCACATGAGGTACCTATCTAGATCTCTGTTTATTTCCTCCTCCAGATGCTCTTCATTCGAGCCTGTATAAATTAGAGCAGTGTCATCTGCAAAAGTAAAATATCTTGCTTGCAGATTCATGAGTTTCAGATTTAGGACATATAAAGTATATAGCAGTGGTCCCAGCACTGACCCCTGGGGTACACCATAATTATTTGATAGAATATCGCTCTCGCAATCCTTGATTTTTACAAACTGTTTCCTATCCACTAAATATGTTTTTATAAGGTTTAAAAAATTTCCCTGAATACCCAATTTGCTTAATTTACCTAAAAGCACATCAATTGATACTACATCAAATGCTTTTTTTATCTATTCAATGCCCACAATTCCTAAATCATTACTCTCACTGCCGTAATCATTGCCGTAAATTTGTACACAAATGACGATCGTGAAACACCCTTCGTTTCATACAATACAATTTAGCCAGCACACACTGTCTTGCCTTGTGGTGACCCCCTGACTTCGTGAATCTTATTTCAAACGCTATACTAGTGGCGTATAGATCCCAAAAACATTTTCAGCCTGTATGGTGCTTGAAAGCCAAATAGCCAATACAATGAGGCTCCTTTTTGAATTATTATTATAGGGGTTTTTGACAGTAGGCGGAAAAACCGGTAGACTGTCATTAGTCCTTGTGCTGGGAATGTTACTTGCCAGTACACTATTTTACGGTCTATCACTAAAATATTTATCAAGTCTGTTCTTAAAGGCATTCACACTAGGGGAGGTTACAACCTCGTCAGGGATCTGATTGCACTGTTGCACCACTCGATTTGTGAAAAAATTCTTCCTGGAAAGTCGGTGGAGAGCTTCAGGGAGTGTCCACGCAGATGAGGGTTGATATTTCTGTGAAAGAAATCAATGACGCATGTGTAATGATTATATAGAACTTTGTATGTTTCGATTAAGTATCCTCTATTTCCGCGTTCCTCCAGAGTTGTCAGATTAGGAGCTTTCAGTCGTTCTTCATAAGACAATTCTCTTAAAGATGGTGGAACTTTGGTTGCCCTCCTCTGGACACGCTCAATCAGATCTATGTCTTTTCTGAAATAGGGACACCAAACCACAACAGCATGCTCCAGCAGTGGTCTGATGTAGGTTTTGTAGGCTCGGAGAAACACTTCAGGGGAGATTTCCCTGAAACAGCGTCATATCAGATAGACTGTTGAGTTGGCTCGCTTCACGATTGCATGTATGTGCTGTTCCCATATTAGGTCATGTGAGATATTTACTCCTAAGTCGGCCTGCTCAGTCACCCTTCCCAAGTTGTTATTGCCCATATGGTAGTCCAGCATAGGATTGCTGTATCCAATGTTCAACACACAAGTTTCAATAATCAGTCCTTCGTTCACCTATCAAGCTCAGCAAGATCCTCAACCATGGCACCATGTTGGAATGTAGGGTCACAGAATATCTTGGTGTCATCGGCATACATACTGGTCCTACTGGGCAATATCTGAGACATAAATTATAAATAGAAGTGGACCCAGCACAGAGCCCTGTGGAATTCCACTGACTACACTGTGCTTGCCAGATAAGGTGCCATTTATTCTGACTTGGTATGTCCGACTACACAAGTAGTCCCGAATTCATCGAAGCAGCTGACCCCGTATACCACAATGCTCAAGCTTGTGAAGCAATCTCTCTGGAGGAACAGTGTCAAACCTTCTGTGGGGTAAAAACCATATTTTCAAGTGTGGGTCCTGACCGTCCGGCTGCGGGAAGTTATGGTATAGTTGTTGTGTCTTCGTGTATAAATACTCTGTCAAATTGATTGCTGAATATTTCCCCCACTCTTTGTGGTTCAGACTCAAGATGGTTGTCTGAATCTCTTAAGACAAAGTTTTGAAGCCTAGATTGAAGCGAACGGTTGATATACTGGTAGAACCTTCTTGGACCCTGCTCTAGGAGACTGCTCTCAAAAGTCGACCGAGCATTTCTTAATGTTTGGGTGATTCGGTTTTTTAGCACATTGTATGCCCGTAGGTCACAATTCTCACCAGAACCTCTGTATAAATGCCATACTTTTCTTTTTTGATTTATCAATTTAACATGAGCTCTAGTAATCCACGGTTTTTTAAAGGTTTCCACTTAAAGCTGAATAGGCACATAGACTTCTGATATGTGGTCCACTACTTCGACAAAGTTATCATAATAGGTTGTGCTGTTGTTTGATTCCCATTGCTCAAGAAATTGATTTATGGCGTCGTAGTCTCCCTTCCAGTGGTTTTTGTGTCTTTATACAGCTTTGACAACTGGAAGTAGGGTCATTCGGGCTGTGGCCACAACAGTAACATGATCGGTCTCACCTATTGGGGGTGCAGACGTAATACTTATCACCAATTTTTCATCTGACACCTAAAACAAGTCAAGTCATGAGGGGACAGTACCCTCCCGAAAACGAGTATTAAAGTCGATTAACTGATGCAGTCTTGATTCCTGGTAGGCCAGTAAAAATTCTTCAGCAGGAACACTACGTTTAGTCACTTTACCGGTGGACCAATCTATTTCAGGATAATTAAAATCACCATAAATTATTGTGGTAAAAGAATCGTTTAGCCTGTTTAGCATATCCACAATCAAGTTGTTATCCTCAGACAAACATCCAGGAGGTCGGTAAATACACCTCACCAGCAACTGGACAGCACCAAACCTCAGGTCGACAAAAACACTATCCACCACAGTCAGCCCAACATTAAATTCTTCTTGCCCTACACAGGAGACTTGATGGCCCTGAATACAATTTTTGATATAGATACCCACCCCTCCACATTTCTTTATTTGCCCATGGTCATTTATGGTTGTGCGATCCTTTCTGAATAATCTGTAGCCATATATACCAATCAAAGAGTCTGGTATGTGTGTGTTCAACCATGTTTCAGTGATAAAAATTAAGTCTGGCTTTTTGTCTAGAATTTCAATGACAAATTCATCAAACTTGGACATGATGGAGCATAAATTGGTACACAACATTAATATGGGTTTGGGCATTTAGTTTTTTATGTGATCAGTACTGAGGCCATGTACCCCAGATGGTCTAACCTTAATTATTTTTGGAAGACCACTGAAGTATTTAATTTTAAAGTTATCTTTTTGTGCAAAATTTGAACCAGGCCAGATCTGAATCTGAATAGTTGCAAAGGAGGGTGGTAACTCACCCTCCACTGACACTAGGCCTCGCCTTAGTGCCCTTTGTGTCACCTCCATTTGTTAAGGCGCATTCTCCTCCCCGAAGGTCTCCCACAGACATAACACCCGTTGGACAAATGCAGGAGAGTTCCAGGTGAGGTGCGCCACAACCTGGCCATGTCAGACCAGATATCCCCCAGTATGGCTTGCCGTTGTTGACAAAAGGTTGGGCAGTGACAAAGCACATGCTCAACTGTTTCGTCTGCAGCGGCGCACCATCTACACATTGGGGTCTCCAACAACACCCAAGGTGTAAAGGTGTTTATTTAGTCTACAGTGTCCTGAGTAAATTTCTACCAGTAGGTGGAGGTTTTCCCTCGATAACTGTACACTATACTCAGCTCTCTTCCTGCTAGGGAGGTCAATCATTGATCTGCCTTGCTTACAAGTGTCTAAACTGCGCCACATTTTGGCGTGCTCTGAACGAGTTATTCGTTACACCTCGGCAATGACGGCGTTAGTTGACAGAGGAATCATGGTTTGAGGTCCAGAATGGACTCCTCAAAGGTCTTCATGTCTGTCATGTCTGTCAACATAAAATAAAATGTCAAAAATGGAATTTTAGCATTTTGGAAACTATTTGATTTTATAGTTTGCGGGTTCAAGGTTCACTCTTTAAGGGCCGGTTTCTCATAAGCAAGTCGCCCCCGGGCTAAGCATAACTCCAGGGCAAACATTGCAACTGGACACTGGACACGTTTACCTTGGAGGTGACTCGCTACCCCAAGGGCCGGTTTCTCAATAGCTGGTCACCCCCGGGTGAAGCCTCGTGTGAAGCATAACTCCAGGGTAAACATAGCAACTGGACACGCTTACCCTGGAGTTAAAACCAACCTAGAGGTGTCTCGCTATTGAGAAACCGGCCCTAAGAGCGTGTTAATGACATTTGAAATCTGTCAGTTTTTTGCACTGATTGGTTGATTTTTCCATATTAGTTTTGGAAAAGAATAAAAAAACACATCAGAATTGCCTGAAATTTGGCATCAACATTCTTCGATCGATTACCTACAATCCCATTATTTTAGTTTTTCGATATTTTGCGAGTTCTTAGAAATAATCCATAAATGCCTAAATCCTGAAAAATAGGCATCTAGGTATGTAAGTAAACACTTTTTAATTTTGAGAAAAACGCAAAATATCGAAAAACTAAAATAATCGGATTGTAGATAATCGACCAAAGAATGTCTATGCCAAATTTCAGGCAATTCTGATGTGAGTTTTATTCGAGATTTTTTTATTCTTTTCCAAAACTAATTTGGAAAAATCTGACAGATTTCAAAGTTATTAAGGCTACCTTAATAGAGAATTCTATTGTTACATTTAGTGGGCAAGTGTATTTGTATTTCTTTCTACTACTATGTAACAAACAATAATGGAAATATTTGGTTTTACACTGGTATGGTTTTAGGGCACTTATGGGTTGAAAATATTAGGTTCGTTCCAACCCAGCCAAAAACCGTTCAATGTACGGTCACGGTCATGCGCCATAGGTTAAACGCGTTCCAACCGAGAGATGATCGTTTACCGTACAGTTTCGTTGGCGTTCCAACCAAACCTGGGATCGTTCGAGAACTGGTTTTAGCACCGTCATTTCGATCCCGAGTGGAAAGCAAGAACCGCGTGGACTGATTCATGACTGACATGCGTAATTCAATTTTTGTCACCTGTTGTTGTTGTTCATGTTGTTGTTAAACAACCAATTTCCAATCTAACTTATAAAACTGTAGCATTTTTATTTTTTTCAAGTGAAAAAAAGTACAAAATTTATTATCAGCTATTTGCTAATCCTTGATGTAATCAGCTTGCAAGGATTCAGTTTTAGATTCTTGATAATAATGAATCAGCGTTGGTGTTCGATTTTCCTTTTGTATATATTATTTTGTAATCCTAATCCTATATTCTTCTATTTTAATTTGCAAACAAACAAATTTAGGGTTAAAGTTATTTGAACTGTCGTCATCACGAAAACGATCATGAAACCGTTCCAACTACCCGTTGTTTCTGTACCAAGATAAAACCGTGCAAGGTCAACGCATGCGCCTGCAATCGATCCTAACAGATCCGAAACCGTTTCATGACGATACGAAAACGGGGGGTTGGAACGAACCTATTAAAAATTAGCTTCCAATTCAATTTTTTTTTCTGTAGATTTTCGATAGGGTTCCACATTCATCTTTTGACAGATGATAAATAACGTCTCTATCAACATTGTGTCCATTTTTTTCCAAAATCGGTCCGGTTTTAGGGCACTTATGGGTTGAAAATATTAAAAAATGAGCTTCAAATTGAATTTGTCTTTTTTCTGAAGATTTCCAATATCCAAACATTTATGTTTTGACAGGTGATAAATAACATCTCTATCAACATTGTGTTTATTTTAAAATCGGTACGATTAGGGTACTTATCCTGAGGGGGGCAAAAAGGCCAAGGCGGCTGGTCGAGTACCAAGTAGCGCTGGCTCCATCAGTAGGGTGGAGCTGCGTTCAACGGGACCGAAACCGGCCGCCCCATACGCGTCTAGGGTAAGGGACAAGGGAGTCGCCAGCATCCCAGATGGATACCCCAGTGCTACCTTCACCATGGAACAAGCAGACCTCATACGTGGGGCTCTGCTTGAAAGCATGGATAACATGCAGAGGGGTGACCTAGCTCCTAGATTTTAGAAAGCGAAAATCAGGGATGGAAGCCTGGTCACCTAATGCGTTGACCAAGAAACCCAGAATTCGGTCAATGAACAGGTCCAGCGCATGACGCCGTGAGACTCGGCGAAACTTAGGGTCATGCACTTAGAGAAACCAGTTCGCGTCATGACCTAGATCCCGGGGCCAAAAATGGAACCGGAAAAATTATTCGGGAGATTGATGCTCCAAAATCCAGGGCTCTCTACGGAGCACTGAAGGATTCAGGGAGAGAAGTTGGACTCCAAAGGACAACAACTCTTCCTGGCCATTGACCGTGTCTCTTGGAAGCGCATTGAAAATTCGCAAAAGAGACTCTACCTCATCTTCTCCAGCATCACGCTGGGGAAGGTGGGGAAGACAACAGATCCTCCTACCGGAACCGGGGGCCAGACATCCTCCATCCAAGCGGATGGAACGGTTGAGGAACCAGGGGCGCCCATGGAGATAAAGACCGCAACCGGCTCCGTAGAGGGACCAGACCTGGAGGCGGAAAGGGAAACCACTCCTTACTCCGAGATCACGGAGACCCCAAATAAGGAGCTGGAAGGTGGTGATGAGGAACTGGGAGCAACTTCGGGTCCCGGCTAACTTTGAAACCGGACCAAAAAAATGATTGGCCAAAATTAAAGTGTTACAAGCAAATATACTGTAGAGCAGCCGTAGCTGTCCTGCAGAGATGTATTCTAAAGCAAGATATCGATCTTGCCCTTGTACAAGAACCTTATATATACAAGGGGAGAGCTAGAGGGTTACAGTGCTCGGGGGGCTACGAGTTAATACAACCTGCAAATGCCACCCCCAAGCTTGCATAGTAGCCAAGAAAAGTCTAAGTGTGTTTCCGCTGTGGTCCCTATGTAAAGGGGACCTCGTGGCAATCTCACTTGAGATCAAGAAAGACAATGCACCGTAACAGGTTATAATATGTTCGGCGTACTTGCCTTACGATCAATCAGGCCCCTCAGAACTGGTTGCCCATTGTCAGGATAAACAAATCGAATTCCTGATGGGATGCGATTCTAACGCCCATCATATTATGTGGGGCAGCACAGAAACCAACCTAAGAGGGGAGGCACTTCTAGAATTTATTGCCAGCAATGATCTAGAGGTGGCAAACATTGGGAATGAACTGACTTTCGTGACTACAAACCAAAAAGAGGTTTTAGACATCATCATAGGGACGAGAGGATTGTGCGGGTGGATGGACGGATGGCGGGTCTCTGAGGAGGCGTCACTCTCTGACCACAAGCACATCATCTACAACCTTGGTAGTGATGGGGGGAAGGAGGACACTTTATATCGCAACCTAGGAACCTGCGAGTGGAACTCCTTTAGAGAGGACCACAAGCAGGGACTTGGCGAATTCCACTCCGCCCCGAAAAAAAACCGGCTGTCCTGTCCTGTCAGAACAACTGACCAGAAATCTCATCGCCAAAAAAAATTCCTGGGGGAAATTCTGCGAATACATAGAAAGTTCACCACAATGCTCCAGGTTGAGAAAAACCCTTCAGAGAGACACCCTTGGAGGGATTGGGTCTGTGGAAGATGAAGAAGGGAAATTCACAAAAACTGGGGAAGAGACCTTGGAACTGCTTCTGAGGGCACACTTTCCAGGATGCGAATTCGCCAATGAGCAAGGGAATGACGATCTGGGTGAGCTCCGCAAGAGGGCACAGAAAGCTCTTTCAGACCCATCAGCCTGACCTCTTTTTTGTTCTAAAAACACTGGAGAAACTGATGGACAGGTATATACTTGCATGCAAGGCGGCACTACACAAGCTGCTGCTGAGGGCGGAACAAGCCCTCTTAAGCAAAGAAATGGCTCTAGGAGTATTCTTGAATATCGAGGGAGCATTTAACGTTGCCTCCTTTGATTCTATTCTTAGAGCAATGCAGAAACGCTGCTGAAAGTATGCTGCGAAATAGGAAAGTACCCTGTTTGGAACGACGAGAGTGATCTCGGCCGCGGGACTGTCCGCAAGGTGGGGTGTTATCTCCCCTTCTGTGGAACCTGGTGGTCGACGAGCTTCTATGTCGACTAAACGACGCGGGAATCTATGCCCAAGCCTATGCCATGGATTATGGCATTGGCAGGCATTATGGTTAACGGTAAATTCGGGATCACTGTATCCGAAAGAATGCAGCTGGCACTGAACATTACCGAAAATTGGTGTAAAGAAGGGGGATTGTCAACAAATCCAACAAAAACCCCTGTAATAGCGTTAACCCTTACTTTGTATGTGGCAAAAAACGCCTGTCAGTCAAATATCTGGGGGTCACCCTAGACACCAAACTAACCCTATACAACCACATTAAAAACACAACAGAGAGGGGCTTAAGAGTTCTCTGCAGAAGGGCGGTGGGCAATACCTGGGGGATTAAACCTCGCGTGATACGTAGGTAGTGGCACAAATTCTTTCTGAATACCTAATCAACGAATTTGAGATTTAATCACAAAGCAAGTATTTGAACAAAATGCAGTCTCTCATATTTCTTGCCAATTAGTGCCATTTAATTTTTTTGATAGGAAAAATTATTTAAATTTTCTTTTAGACCTGCGACATGAATACAATGGGAGAGGCAACCTGTTTTTAGAAGAACACATTGAGAAAAAAAACCCCATCCATTTATTTGAAAAATGGTATCAAGCGGGTAAAGGTGATCCCAAAACTGTAGAGCCAAATGCTGTTTTTCTTACTTCATGCACAAAGTAGGAACCACTACCTTCAGTGTGTTTTAATAATTTTCTACATAATTTTTTATTAATACAGAGATGGTTACCCTTCTGGACGAGTTGTACTTCTAAAACGCTTTGGAAAAGAAGGCTTCACATTTTCACCGCATTTTAATAGCAGAATAGGGAATGACTTTGTATGTTTGTTTTTTCTCTCCATAAGGTCAATTGATAATAATTAATCAAATATTTTTCTAGGAAGAAAATCCTAAAGCGGCCCTCACATTTTATTGGGAACACTTTAGTCGATCAGTATGTTTGTATTAAAATTGTAATTTATTTTCAATTTATTAAATAGAGTGATTTTTAGGTTCGTGTTGAAGGCGACGTAGAAAAAGCCTCCCTGTCTGAGGGAGAAGAAAATTTTCGCAAAAGACCGTATGAACATCAAATTGCAGCTTTATTGAGTGACCAAAGCCAGCCCGCTGAAAGCAGGAAAGATTTGCAGAAAAAAGGATCGGAATTGATGCAACAATTTAAGATTGGAGAAGTGCCAAAACCCTCTCAATGGTAGACATAATGTACTTATGCTTTTTAAGGTTTGCATTTATATATCATATTTTTTAGGGGTGCTTACTTATTGAGGCCTCATCTGATAGAATTTTGGCAAGGGCAAACCGATAGGTTGCATGATAGAATCAGGTTTCGTATCCCTAAAGAAGGTGAGCCAGATAATGTTTTAACTAAACAAGGTGAAGACGGATGGATATATGAAAGGTTATACCCTTAGTATTAAGAGCTATAATATTGTTGATGTTACTATAATTAATAAAATGATTTTTTTTGGGGTATCTGGAATTTTTGTTATTCAATAAACACTCTTTAGCTGTTTTTGTTATGAATGTTTACTCTGCAATTAGTTATGTCGTCAAAGCTCAATCGAATCAACTGAATTGAGCAAGGTTAATATTTCAGAGTCAGTATAGTTATCAAGAATTACAATTTCTGCAGAACTTGTTTCAAAAACTTGTGCTCAACCAGATTAGGGGTCTGGATATGAATGCTATAAAAGGAAGACCAGACGCAACAGGCATGAGGGCTTCAAATGGGGGCGAACGGGAGCACAAAAAAGTGATTTCAGTGCCTTTAAATTATCGAAGTCTTCTTTCAATTCCAGTATTTGAAAATCCTTACTGATATTCCTGATTAGACAAATTAGTTTGAGACTGCAAAAAGGTAGTGACTGCTAGCCAAACATACAATATGTATATCATTAATGTAAATATTAAAGAGAACTGCTCAAGGTGGGACTGTTGGGACACACCAAAGGGAATCCTCGATTGCATTGGACCGAAAATTACCAACTTTGACATTCTCTCTGCGTCTGCGCTCGGTCATTTAGAGGTATTTACCAATTTACCGACCCCAAAGCCTTTGAGCTTATAAACAAGCACACCATACGAGACTCTGCCAAACGCCTTGGAAAAGTCAGTGTTAATAGAATCACGCCTTTCTTCAAGACTCCCAACAGAAAATCAACATGCGTCTTGTGTCAGCAGATTCAACTCAGACTTTCAAAGGCCTAGGGAATTGCATTCAAGATGCTATAGGATGATAATTTGTAACAGATGACCGGTTGCCCGACCTAATAATTAGTTTAAAAAAGCTTTCCTTGCGGTGATCCGGGAAAGTTCCAGTTTGGAGTGAGAGAAACACAAAATGTTAATCGCAATTGTAATCGTAATCCAATAACTTTGTATGCCAACCAAACGCCATATTGGATTCATTTCATCCGATCTCTAGAGTTATTTTTATCTTTCTCGAATTGTAGCCATTAAAAAGAACCAAAAATATCAGTTAATAATTGGTTCAATTCCAAGAATCGCTTCAATTTTAGAGGTTATTCGGAAAATCCCGTTTTCAATATGCACTATGCAGCCAAGACTCCTAAAGTTAACTATCCGTGATTAGCTGCAGAAACAAACCTATAATAGGTTGTCTGGGCTAGAACTCTGTAACGGATAGAAATCGTTATTCGTTATCCCTATCGTTATGGCACTCTCTGTCTTCTTCTCCCTTTTCGAAATCAATAGAGAGGGGACGTCAATAAAGATAGAGAAAATATCTTTATTCGTTACAGAGTCCCAGCCCTGGTAATGGGTAATTTGACGCATCTGGGGTGACATGGAGATTTGCAATCTTGAGGCACCCCGGATGACGTTATACAGTTATGAGGCAACATTGAACTAAACAAACACTCTGGAACGGGCGTACTGCTTCATGCTAATGAGGCAACGTACCTCTCTCAAATAACCTTGTATGCAGCCTTGTGCTGCCGTCCTAATGGCGTTTCCGGTTCGGAGAATTAGGCGGCGTTCCGTATCTTAACCAGAGTTACCGATTGGTATGGAGCGGTTCGTCTATGATGGTGACAGTCTGGTTCCTGAAAATACGGTTTATGTGTGGAACCGCGTTTCATAACTTAACCAGATTTCGGGAGTGGTTAGGTTACGGAACGGGAACCGGAAAAACCAAGAATCTTGGTTAACTTACGGAACGTCGCCTTAGAGAAGAGAAAATGTATTTCTAACTTTTTCTTTCACAAGCTGAGAGAAAGAGATGGAAATACACTAGTGCTCATTAAAACTTCCACACGGAAACGCCATGAACCAAGAAAACATTTAGATCAGAGGAATTATAATAATCAGGATTCGAGAATATTAACTTAAATATACTGAAGTGAAAACGAAGTTAAAAAAATAACAATTATTTATGAACAAAAAAAAAAAATAGAATTTTATCGAGTGGAAACGCGGCTTTAGCGCGGTGCTTTGGGATTGGGAAAACCGTTAACCGAAACGTCAATCGTCAAAATTTTGTGTGTCATTGTCAATACAAATTTTATATTAATTAGTTTTTGCCTCCATTTTGTTTGCAATAAACATTTCTCTCAAGTTTTACCTATAAATAGGTATTGCGTGGCGTTCAAAAGGATTTCAGCTAAGTGAACGAATTTCAGCATCCCAAATGGAGATGGATATTGATACTACCAGTGGTAAGGAAAAATATACATTTTATAAGTTCCAGGGTTTTTCGAGACAATTTTTACATAGGTTGCAACTTTTTTATTGAATATTGAATATCGAGGCCAAATTTCTTTATTTATAGCAGATAAAATCCAGAATAATTTATTTGGTACCTAATTGAGGTTCTCGGGTACTGTTAGCATATCAAAAAGTCATCATTATAAAATAATATAAAAAGTCTATCAAACACATGAGCAAAGTAACATAACCATTAATAAACCGATAGATAAGCTGTGACGATGGCCCTGGTTCCTGCCATATACTTAATTCAAGCAACAAAATTTTTACAGTCGACCAGTAGTTTATTATTACCGGTGATGATTATTTAAAAATGCAAATTTACAATGTATCTTCTCTGTAATGATTTAGAATAGGTACAAAATACTTTTCCCAGGGTTAGGTATTTACACAATTCACTAGTTTATTATGAACTATATACATAGGCAAATAAATTGTGTTAAAAAAAATGAACTGAGATGGCGCAGTTAGATATTGTGGTATCTTCTGTGTGACCTTAAGCTTCGTAGAGACTTGAACATTAAGGTGAACAACAAACAGAACAACGGACCGAACGACGATCGAAACACTAAAATATGGACGGGGCTACGAACGGCCAGGATTTGGGAACGCATTCTTAGCCCTGTCCACATTAGTGTTTTGATTGTCGTTTCGTTTGTTGTTCGCCCTAATGTTCGGGTCTGTATGAACCTCAAGAGTGCCTTGTCCAGACCCGTCCTTCTGATAAGATTCCAGAGCCGTGAAACTGGCCACTCCATATAGCTTGTTGGATTAGGCTTCTCCTCACCAAGTTTTGAGAACCTGAGCCTGCATAACGCTTTGCAATGGCACCACACATCAAGGGCAGTTTCTTCTGCCTCCTGGCAGAACCTGCATAAGCTATCTGCAGTTCCCTGTTAATTCACCTACCATTATGCTTACAACCTTATGGCTGTGACTTAGTGGGTCTGATGTGAACTTGGGCGAGCAGGATTTATTGAACTGCTTTGCCTGTCGTTATCCTGGTGTTTGCAGCCAGTAGCTCTGGAATTCTCTGTCTATCCAGTCCTTTATGGATGTTTCAAAGAGGCATGCAGAATGGCTCTAGGCCTATCATCTTGATAGCAGAGCCTCCTCTACCAAATTTGAGTGCAACAATTTTTTGTAAATTAAAAAATAGACTATTTTTTGAATTAATTCGACCATCTCCCTTGTCACAGGGGCTACAGGAGTAGAGCAAAGCTCATCATTTGGCGTCTTTTCATCACATACTCTCCAATATTCTATAAAAAATTGTATGAAACATTTTCTTGAAAAATAGAAGAAAAAAAAACACTGATCTCTTCTTGTTCGAATGGATGGAAGGACTGTCCCGCTCACTGATCACATAAAGTTTCTGGGACTTCATATCGACCCTAATCTGAATTGGGGAGTTCATATTGATTCGCTTCAGTTGAGGTTGAGTAGGTTGTGTGTGGTCTCCTGAGACGACTGAGACTGGTCATTTCACCCGAGTTAGGTCGACTATTCTACTTTGGTCAAATCCAATCAATTATTAGTTATGGAATATGCTTTTAGGGCGCATCAAAGGGAGCACCGCTGGGCCTACATCCTAGAGCCCATTTTTTACTGAGTTGGGGGTGTTGACTGTTCCATCACTCTATTTTGCATCCTTGGTGATGTCTGTGAAGCGGAATATTCACATGTTTGCTTCCAATCAGGCATATTATGGAGTTGATTTGGTTATGACGTCCAGAAACAGGGGTGACTTGAGTATTCCTCTCCATTGCTCAACATTTTCTGAGAGGGGCCCTTACTTCATGGGCATTAAGGCTTATAGAATGTTGCCAGACAGCATAAAAGCAATTGAAAATGTGGATATATTCAAGCAATTAGTCTACCAGTGGTTGCACCTCAAATGTTTTCATTGTTTCAAATTTACATTTTAGTACTGTTTTTTATATTGTGTATCAAATGTCCTACTTTTGCATTTTATTTTATTTTAGCACTGTAAGCCAACTTATAATTGTTGTGTATTTTTAATTATACCCTAAAACGTATTGATTGTCTGTATTGATAATAGCTGCTTGGATCAGCCTTGTGGCCTTGCTGGTATTGTTTTTATACAATTTTTGTTGGGAATATAGAATATTATTATTATTATTAGTAATGAATAAATCGGTCAGTGGTCGACTGTAACTTCACATGGGAACACAAAAATAGCCCAAATGGTCTATAAAAGGGTGGGCTCATTAACATTCTCATATTATTTTGGAATTTACAACATGTAAGAGAAAAAAAATTGCTATTGCAGAAGGTTCCACTAAATTTTCTGCTAGTACGAGGTCAGAAAAAGTGTTTTAAAAAATATACTATTTCAGGATTACAACGGGGTTTCCAAGGAGGAGGAAAGCTTCTTTTAGAGGAAGAAATAATAAAGAAGGATCCATCTGATTTATTTCGGAAGTGGTACGAAGAGGTTAAGGAAGACCCCAGAACTGAGGAACCCACCGCCATGTATCTGTCCACTTGTACCAAGTAGGTACCTATATTCTCATTATGTTCCTATTCTTTTATTAGTTTGATACTACGTGTTTGTTTATTTATTTTCAGAGACGGTGTGCCATCCGGACGTTTAGTGCTGCTGAATGAATTTGGGGCAGAAGGCTTCAAATTCTTCACCCATTACATCAGCAGGAAAGGTCAAGAATTGGTAAGTTATTTTAAAATAATCATCATCATGTTCAGTCCTGGCTGCAGCAATTCGCCTCTTCTCCATGTCTGTCTGTGTCAGTGCAGGATTCAGGGGACCTTATCCTACTCTTCTTATCAGCTCTTGGACTCCACTCTAATCCTTTAGTCTATCTTCCAGCTCCCATAGAAGCAATCTGTAGAATAACATTATCATTGTTGATGCCCATTCTCTCATGCAAGCTTTTATCACTTACAAGGTCCAGCAAACATTGATTGATTCTGAAATTCTTGGCGGATATCAAAGACTGCAACTGTAAAACATTTTGTTTACATTTTCTCAAAAAAAAAAGCCTTTACAGGTCCAGCATGATGAGTTTTATTCCATAATAGGTACTCTACAGTTGTATTATTTCATCAGAAACATCAATCACAAACTCCTTTTATAATTTTCAACCTAATAATTTTTTGTTTTAGTTGTCTTGAATTTTTTATATAAATAACTTATTTTGGTGAGATATTTATATACAGGGTGACCCAGGGAAAATAGCCCACCCCGATTTTTTCGATTGGAAATGTTAATATGGAAAAGCGCTCGGACACACAGACTTTTGATTTGACGGGGAAATATTTTTCATCTCTTTAGCTTCAAACCTCTAGCTAGAGGTTCTTAAAGGTCTCATCGAGTTTATTTATTTATTTATTTATTTGTACAGACGGGCTGGACCCAATTGGTTACAGTAACATATGAAATAATAAGTACTATAACCTAATCTAAAACTAGAAAAGAATACAAATAATACACACCGCAGATTGGCTAAATCTAAATTACAACTAATAATAAAAGCTTATCTCTTTCAAAACGCTTGCTGAACAACATGTAGGTATATAAACAAAAGCAAAAATAAAAATTTAACAGTCACAATACAAATGAGACTACACAATATAAATCACTGACGATCACGATTTTTCAGGTACTTCTTCAGATTTTGTTGTGACACAATAAATAAATCTTTCTCACAGTTGTCACAGATTTTCATGATTCTATTTATTGCACTATTCTGGCCATAAAGAGTTCTATGCTGATGCAGTTCAAAAGTTCTTTGGTCTCTTAAAAGTCTAGGAGGGACAAAAAATTCAGTCTAAATAATAGCTCACCGCAGTCGCACAAGTCATTAATTAATTTATGAGCAAAAACTATATCGGCAGTTTCTCTCCTATTTTTCAGAGTGCCAATTTTAAGACTGCTCTCCAACTGGTGATAATTTATTTCCTCCATGGGAATGTGCATCTTATATGCTATATACCTAAGAAACTTCCTTTGAACTTTGTCTAGCATAACTTGATATGTAATAGAGTATGGAGACCAAACACTGGAAACATTTTCCAAATGTGGCCTTACAAGAGGAACGTAAAGCAGCTTTATAGCTGTGATATCATTAAAACTCATTGTGTGTCTTTTTACAAATCCCAGCATTTTCATTGCCCTATTTCTACAAATTTCAGTGTGCTGTCGAAAAGTAAAGCCACTATCAAAGATGACACCAAGATCTTTTACCATGTCTACCCTTTCAAGCTTGTTATTATTGAAATGATAGTTATTAAATGTATTTTTTTTAAATTTACTGAATTGTATGTACTTGCATTTTGATATGTTTAATGCCATTTTGTTGTCAGTGCACCAGTCATAAAATCTGGTGAGATCAGACTGCAGTTTAATACTAGACTTATAATCAGTGATTGGAAGGAAAATCTTAATGTCATCGGCATACATTAAAAATTCACAAAATTTAAAACACTGAACAACATCGTTTAGGAATATACTAAATAGAATTGGAGCCAAATGGGCGCCCTGTGTGTATGTATAGGCTTAGATAAGTAACCTTTTACTCTTACTACCTGCTTTCTGTCTGACAGATAAGACTCGAACCACTTCAGCAACCCACCATGTATACCATAACCATAAAGTTTCTTAAGCAATATATTGATGTTTAGCTTATCAAAAGCTTTCGCAAAGTCCGTATAAATAGCGTCCATCGCTGACCCAGACAGTTCTTTATGATGGCCCTAGAATTTCGTCTTATTATTATCATCCGTAACAAAATGACAGCTTGTCAAAATCTTGGAAATAGACTATTGGTTTAGTGGGAGTAAAAGCGATACTTCCTTCCTCAATAAAAATACTAACAATTTACAATTCACATGTACACTCGCGTGTAAACCTAATTAATAATAATAAAAAACTTCAATTTCAAGTATTTTTATCAAGGGAGGTAAGTATCGCTTTTACTCCCACAAAAACAATAGTCTATTTGCAAGATTTTGACAAGCTGTTACTTTGTTACGGATGAAAATAATGAGACAAAATTCTAGGGCCATAAAGAACCCGATGAGACCTTTTAAAAGAGGTATGACACGGCCTGTTGTTCTCCCGGAGATGGAAAAAACTGAAAAATATTTCGCTGGGTTGGCCTGTTTTCTCTGGGACACTCTGTTTATATAACCTGTCTGGTACCATTTTATTTGTTATACAATTTTTTGGGTTTGAAGATATGCTGGAGGTTTAACAAAAACCCATCAACCACCCTTATGTGCAATATTTCCACGGAAAACTATGATTTTGTGTTATTTACTGAGACTTTCCTGAATAAAGACATTTTGTCGAGCGAATTGGGAATGAGTAATTACTTAATATTTCGCTGTGATCGTTCTGATAGAACCAGTGTCCATAAGTCACAAGGGGGTGTCATGGTTGCAGTGAGGAAGTCTCTTAATTGTAGACAGATATCTACTCAATGTGAATCAGTGGAGCACATTTTTGTACTGGTTTCTTTGAAAGAGCATCATATTTTGTTGGGCAATGCTTATCTGCCCCCAGATTCTCCTATAGACTCCTATGAAAGTTACTGCTCATCCGTAACAGCTGCGTTGGAAATATGTAGTAGTTGTCAAAACTTGGAAATCTATTTATGTGGAGATTTTAATAGACCGGATGTGTCCTGGATCAATGATTTGCATGGGACTAGGGCTATTGGTAAACAATCTGAACAAACCACAGAGTTGGCTGACTGCATGGCTTTCCATAGCTTATATCAAGTGAATAATATTTCTAATATTTATGGGAACTTTCTGGATTTGATATTTTGTAGTAATAAGGATGTATGTACCTCAATATCAGCCGATCCACTTTTGAATTTGGACACACCTCATCCTGCTTTGGTTTTTGATGTATTAATTTCAAATAATAATTCTGATAAGTTGGAGTATGATTATTGTTTTCTAGATTATAAGAATTGTAATTTTAGGGATTTAAATGTTTATCTGTCTTGTGTGGATTGGGACTCTTTTGTTGATATGGATGATATAAACTCTGCTGTCGATACTTTTTATAATCAAATTTATCATGCTATTGAGATCTTTACACCCATTTCAAAAAGAAAAACAGCAAAATTTCCAGGATGGATGGATAGTCATTTGAAATGTTTGATTTTGTCTAAAAAAAAGGCACATCAAAACTATAAAAATACTATGTCCGCTCAGGATTATGGAGTTTTTTCAGAAATTAGGAAAGAATGTAAAATTTATTCTCATATCAGCCATAGGAATTTCATTGAAAAAATCGAGTCCGAGACACAGGACAGAAATGGATTTTGGAGATATGTACGATCGAAAAATGAAAATCGTGGATATCCCAGTTCTATGTTTCTTGATGAGCATGAAGGTAGCACACCTCATGAAATTGTCAATCTCTTTAAGGATAGTTTTTCCTCGGTTTATACTGAGGTGAGTGTTGAGAGTGATCGAAACATTCCTGTCTCTAATTTATCTAGTTTGTCTAATTGCAGTATCAGTTCGGTTCAAATTACCCCTCTTGATATATTTAACAAGATACATTCATTGAAGAATGGATTGGGTTGTGGTCCTGATGACATCCCAGTATTATTTGTTAAGAATTGTAGTTGTATTCTTTCAGAGATATTATGTAAAATATTCAATAAGGCTTTAGAGTTGGGACGGTTTCCTGATATGTGGAAATTAAGCTATATAACTCCTGTGTTTAAAAGTGGAGAAAGAAATAATATTAAAAACTATAGGGCCATATCCAGAATGTCTATTTTTTCTAAGGTATTTGAGTCTATAATAACGGATTTTCTTACACCAATTTTGAAACATGTTATTGTACCGGAACAGCATGGCTTTATTAAGGGTAGATCTACATTGACTAATCTTCTGGTCTATGAGGAGGCTCTGTTGGAGGGCTTGGAGAATAAGTGTCAGATTGACTCGGTCTACACTGACTTCTCCAAGGCCTTTGACAGGGTTGACCATAAGATACTATTGGAGAAGGTGGCCGATGTGGGGCTGCATGGAGGTCTATTGAGCTTGATTGGAAGTCTTCTCACAGGTAGAAAACAGGCTGTAAAAATTGAGAATTACATCTCTTCAGTATTTTCGGTGACCTCGGGGGTGCCTCAGGGAGGACACCTGTCTCCTTTGCTGTTTAGTATATTTATTAATGATCTGTCAGGTGTCTTCAGAAATTCCGATTTTTTGCTCTTGGCTGATGACTTGAAGTGTTTTATGGTTGTTCGGGATGTCAGGGATGCTCAATTATTGCAAGTGGACTTGGATATGTTTCGGACTTGGTGTCAAAGAAACAAACTCCCCTTAAATGTTGAGAAGTGTAAGGTTATTACTTTTTCTCGGAAAAAAACACCTTACTTACATAATTACGTTCTTAATGATTTGGAGATTAACAGGGTTGAAACTATTAGAGACTTGGGAGTCTATTTCAACACTTATGTAAGCTCACAGAGCACATTGAAATAACTGCTAATAAAGCAATGAAATTACTAGGCTTTATGTTCAGGTCACTAAAAGAATTTACTAATATCTACACCCTAAGAAACATTTATTGTGCAATTGTTAGATCAGTTGTAGAATATGCTTGCCCTGTCTGGTCCCCTTATTATGCTGTGCACATCTCCCACTTGGAACGAATCCAAAAAAAGTTTTTAAGATCCATTGCATATCGATTGGGCATCCCAAGTGAATCTATAAATTATAATGAGTTAATGTCTGTCCTAAATCTTGAAAATCTGAACCAGAGGCGACAGTTTTTTGATATGTGTACTTTGTTTAAGATTGTTAATAATTCTATTGATTCTCCAGACTTACTTGCTAGAATTGGCTTACATGTACCATCTAGCAATTTAAGAGGAAACACATTGTTTAACCTTGATTTTCGTAGAACCAATTATGGTTACCATTCACCTTTACTTAGAAGCTGTCGTTCTCTGAATGATATTATTTTGAAGACTGATTTGGATGTTTTTAACATAAGTTTGGATAGATTCAAAAGAATTTTAAAGTCGATCCTAAAATGATCGTTTTTTCTATTTGTATTCAATTTTAAGCGTATTATGTTGTTTATGTTTTGATACCTACTACAAAATATTTGTTTAGGCTTATGTAATATTGTTTTTTTATACTAACTTGTCTGTTGCCTACTTGTTATTCCAAATATTTATTATTGCGTGTACCTACACTTTAAGTCTACCTTTGTAAAAATGGCATGTCCGTAAATAAAGAATTTATTTATTTATTTATTTATTTATCAACTGCTCACTGCTGTATTCATGCCTTTCTTCTACCTTTAGGTCGGGCCGAAAATATGAAAAATTACCTAGTAATCAATCAATTAATCAATCAAAATAGACTTTATTGTAGGAAAATAAATTTCATTGACAAAGCATGTAACGTAAAATTATTATAAAATTATCGGGTTATAAAAAAAAGGTACAACCAATACAATAAAAAATAAACATAAATGTCAAAGCATATAATCCTAAGCAATACAAGTACAATTACATTCTTCTCCAATTGGAAAGTATAAAGAAAATATTTTTTTTTAGAAGGAAAATCCCAGGGCTGCAATTACATTCAACTGGATACATTTCAGTAGAGAAGTACGAGTTGAAGGCGACGTTGAAAAATTACCAGATGATGTTTCTGATGTGGTTTTCAGCCAAAGGCCATACTTTAGGCAGATTGGGACTCTATCCAGTAATCAGAGTAAGCCAGTTGCAAGCAGAGATGTATTGGTCGACAGAGAGCGCCGTTTGAAAAAACACTTCAAAGAAGGACGTGTTCCCAGACCAGATTTTTGGTGAGTAGAATTCTAATTAAGTGTACCTATAGTTTATTTTAAAAAAATATATATATATTTTCAGGGGTGGCTATCTTCTCAAGCCAAAAATTTTTGAGTTTTGGCAAGGACACGCAGATCACCTTCATGACAGGATCAGATTTCGGTTCCCTGTCAGCAATGAACCAGATGGTGTGTTAACCAAGCAGGGAGAAAATGGATGGATCTATGAAAGATTATACCCTTAGATTTGAGAACCACCGGTTCTCCTATTATTTATCTCGTTTATGTTTTTTTAGTTATACGCTTTGTTGAGAACCGTTTCTTCTATTAATTATCGCATTTATGTTTTTGTTTTCAATATTTTCTTAAAGTTATATGCTTAGATTTGAGAACCGTTTCAACTATTAATTATCGCATTTATTTTTGCTTTTCAATATTTTCTTAATGTTATAGGTTTAGATATGAGAACCATTTCTCCTATTAATTATCGCATTTATGTTTTACTAATGTTATGCGCTTAGATTTGAGAACCGGTTCTCCTATTAATTATCACATTTATTTTTTTCTTAGTTATATGCTTAGTTGAGAACCGTTTCTCCTATTAATTATGGAATTTATGTTTTTTTTTTTCAATATTTTCTTAATCAAGCCAAAAATGGTTGAGTTTTGGCAAGGCAAACACAATGGCATCGATGACCGCATTAGCTTTCGCCGCCCTGCAGCCAATGAAGTAGTGGATGGCGTGTTAACAAAACCTGGAGAGAATGGATGGGTTTATGAGAGATTATATCCTTAGATTTGAGAACCGGTTCTCCTATTAATTATCGCATTTATGTTTTCTTAATGTTATACGCTTAGTTGAGAACCGTTTCTCCTATTAATTATCACACTTATGTTTTTTTAATGTTATATGCTTAGATTTAAGAACCGTTTCTCCTAATAATTTTGGAAATTATGTTTTCTTTTCAATATTTTCTTAATGTTATTCAGGAGTGGTTATTTGTTCAAGCCAAAAATGGTTGAGTTTTGGCAAGGCAAAAACAATGGCATCGATGACCGCATCAGATTTCGCCGTCCTGCAGCCAATGAAGTAGTGGATGGCGTGTTAACAAAACCTGGAGAGAATGGATCGGTTTATGAGAGATTATATCCTTAGATTTGAGAACCGGTTCTCCAACTAATTATCGCATTTATTTTTTCTTTTCAATGGGTACGTTCACTAGCAGTTGCCAACAGTTGAGTAGTTGAGAAAACAGTCGCGTTCAGCGGCGCACAGTGAAAGCCGCTTTTTGTCAGCTGCTGCTGATATCTCTAAGAAAAAAAATGTATGCTTACCAACTCAACTTATTGAATTGTCATTTGTGATAACTCTCAACTATGCGTTCAGGAAATTTACATCCGCTGTAAGTTAGCTGCTGAGTACTGGTGAACTTACCCATTATTTTCTTAATGTAACATCGTCAATAAAATTTGATGATTAAAAAATGTTTTATCATTTTAATCAAATGACGGAAGATTTATAGCGAATGGATCTCAATATACTTGCTTATTGTTCCTGTCAACTCGGAAGGCTAAGTTTTTATTGGGTGGCTCGAGTTTGCCATCATAATAATCTGATCTATAAATCTTAGAATTTTGTACAAACCAAACCACATTTTGCATAGGTACCTACCCATCTTTGAAAAATAACCATTTTTTTTGTCAATGGTTGTTTACTTGATGTTTTCTTTTGGAATTAAATTATAATTTTTTTGAAAGCTCATGCCATTTGCTTTAACTTGTGCAAAATTTTAAAAAAGGTATGCAAAATTAGTAGATTGAGTATTGAAAATAAGTTTTCCCCAAGATGGAAGGGAGAATATATTTTTTTGAAATTCCATAACTTTCTCCACAAAAATTCACAATATGTGTGTAAAATTCAATGAGCGTGTAGAAACACTTATAGTTTTCTGGTTTGAAAAGTTCACTGAGTTGGGTTTAGCCAAGACGAAGCTTTGGGTTATTTGAATACATCTCTCATCTCCTACAGAAATGAGTGTTTGATGTTTGATAAAAAATATGCAGAATTTTTATGGCACCATAGTGGTCATATTATTTTACTTGACATCTTATAGTATTGGCAGTTTTCTAGAAAACCGCATTTTTTTATTTGGGCATTATAGTTTCTCCTAGCAATATACATAGGAGATTCTAAAACATTTTTTCTTGACCACTTTTATTATCAATATTTTTTCCATCACTTAGCTGTGCGATGATTCGTTTCCAAACTATAGCCGGAAGACACCTTTTTATTTATTGATAACTCTTTATCACCTCTAGCAGTTATTTATTCCTTTTTTTTTTAAATTTAGGTACTGAAAAGTATGTTTCTGCAAGTTTGAATTTCTTCAGGTAAATTGTCCCAAGAAGTTATAGGGTTCTCAACGATGTTGGGAATTTCAACTACCAAACAAAAAGACATCAAAATGATGAAAGTGGTAAAATATGGGTAAATACCATGAACAATCTGCAACGAAATCCAATATTTTGTTATAAAAACCATGGAGAACATAAATATGACATTAATTTACTTAAATCTGACACTGTTTAATATACATAACCGGTGTCCCTGGGAAACCAGTCCACCCTGATAATGTTTGAAAATAAATTTTCTAGCTGTAAACGGCCAGACACATCAAATTCAAAAGTGAGAAATATGGATGAACGAGTCTGAATATTAATTTAAATAAAGAAAATAGAAAGTTTACAATTATTTTATTAAATGTTGAAAATATTCTCCATTGACCTCCCCATAAGAAAAATCCAAAGGGGTAACATCGGAAGATCTGGCAGGCCTGTAAAAAACTGGAAAACTTGAACAAGATGATAGGTAACCTTCTAGAAAATGAATTGATGTTTCAGCAAGATGAGGCACCTCCACATTACACTGCTCCCATTCGTCAGTTTTTGAATGGAGAATTTCCTAGACGACTGATTGACCGGAGAGATACTGTGGGATGGCCGGCTAGATCTCTCGATCTTTTTTCAGCATTTAATGAAATAACTGTAAACTTTTAATTTTCTTTAATACAATTAGGTGAAGATCTGAATTAATGTTCAGACTCGATCATCCATATTTCCTAAGGATGAACCGATGAAAATTAAAAACAAAAAGGGGGTCATGTGGAGAATAGAACTTCGTATCACTCAACCACACTCACCATTCGAAAAAAACATGAGGTGGCTCTGAAGGGTAGGGGGATACAGGGAGAGAAACGCAGGTATGTCCATAGCATGCCGCCTCAATATGAAATTTGACTTGTCCGGCCGTAATTCGCTAGAGAATTCATTTTCAGGGTAGACTGTTTTTCCCGGGAAACCCTGTATATCCTTATTTCTAATCGCTTTTACATAAGAATAACGAAAAAATGTGACTCCCAATAAAAAAATCGTTGGTATAATTATTACAAATTGTCTCTGTTTTATTCCCGGATCGGATCAGTTCCAGGAGCACCCTTGCGTTTTTATTCTCATCAAATTTCACCGATGGAACCACCATTGGCACCATTATTAAACCACAGTGGCGACAATTGAAGACTTATTTTTGATTGGTTCTCTAAATCCTATATAATTATATGGAAAAACGTCGCCATTTTGTGCACAACCTCTTGTTACTTCAAAATATGAATATATAGGATTTAAATGGACATCCATCATAAAAAATTGAAAACAACGTATTTCATTGCTATTATGAGGTACATCAAATACGTTGTTTTCAATTTTTTATGATGGATTTCCATTTAAATCCTATATATTCATATTTAAAAGTAACAATAGGTTGGGCACAAAATGGCGGCGCGACCTCTATTGTCGTCATGTAAAGGTTTATTTAGCCACCATTATACCATTCTATGTCGGCCATTGTCATTTTCTATTCACTAAACAAAGATAGCTAACTCATCAGTGAAGTCATCGATTAGAATAAAAACGTGGGGCATTAGAACTGAATCGGCACCACCAAACGCATGTGCAGTTTAAATTACGTATGTCGTACGTTGATCACTTAAATTCCGATAATCCAGTGCAAAAAAATATATTGTTATCCTTTGTTTTTATATGTGTCAGAAAAGGACACAAATACATTTGGTGTGCACTGGAGTTACAAATTGAAAACGCCGTCGCCATTATTGGCGGTCACTTTGGTGAGGTGATTTGCATCTTGCATCGGCCATTATTGGCAATCCAAAGCTATTGGTCATTGGAAAAAGAAAAATAGCGAAATTAAATTAAAGTTTGGATACCAGCACAAGCATATAAATAAACAAGTTGCAGCGTACCGAACAAAATGGATCTTGCTGGTAAGAGTAAGAGTATACCTATGGCCTGGGCGCCTGGCCCGGCTCGGAGTTTCCAATTCCCTAATTTTCCCTTTTTCCTGATTATTATATCTTTAGTGCTTGAACCTAATTCTTAAAATTTAACTATATCCCACGTAGAGTTTTTGCAACTTCTCAATTCTAAATATTTTCAATCCATTTATTTTTTGTTTTCTCTAGGGCCCCCAAGGCCAAATCTACAAATGTACCTACCTAGTTTGGAGAAGAGTATCATCTGATAAATGTGAATAATTGTCATTTGACTGATTATTGGCAAATAAGTATAATTATTTCTAAAGTTTTTTTATTGTATTTTACTTTGTATGTTTGGAAACAATTTGTTTAATTTACTGTGAAGTTCCTTTTTAAAATAAAAGACAATCTCTACTGAGTGCTTATGACCGCACAACACAGTCAATATGCAAAATCAATGCTCTTTATGTTTTTTTCTATACTGGATTCTTTCATCAAAGTATTACTTCATTGTAGTCAAAATGAAACCTTTCAGGAATACCGGGTTTGTTAAGAAGAGAAGACATTCTTCTAGAGGAAGATATCGAGAAGAAGGATCCGATCGATTTATTTCGGAAGTGGTTTCAACAACTCAAGGAAGACCCCGGAACAATAATGGAACCCAGTGCCATGCACCTGACCACATGCACAAAGTAGGAACCATTACAATTCTTTCATCTTTTTGTTATGCTACTTTATGTTTGCTTATTTCTTTTTAGGGATGGTGTACCATCCGGACGTTTGGTGCTGTTAAAAGGATTCGCAGAAGACGGCTTTAGATTCTTCACTCATTACCAGAGCAGGAAAGGTCAAGAGCTGGTAAGTTTTTTAAAACTAATCATCATCAAAAGTCAATCCTTTGCGTCTACTGCTGGTTACCCCTAATTTTGCCAGCAGATTGCTCTCTCGTGCTCGCTGCATCCATTTGCCTCTTCTCAATGCGTCAAGGCAAACAAATTTTCTCGACTTTGATTTTTTGATGGATATTTCCATATAATTTGAGGCAAAAATTTACAGAAAAATCCTATCAAAATGTGCAAAAGAACTAACATTTTTTTTTGCCACACACAGTCTTCACAAAAAAAAAAAAACAGAAATTCCCAACAAATTTTTAAAAAGGGGCAAATAAATTCTGAAACCCATAACTACATGCTTTTGAGGCACCGGAATGTTCTAGAAGTTATCAGAAATTTCCCAAATATTTTTAGGCGCTCTTTGAACTTCTTATTGAAATTCTGATGATTGAATGTGTTCTAATGTATTCATGAAAGTTTTAGGTTCCAAAAGTTTAAAAAAATACTCCTAAAAATTTTAACTTGGATTTAAATCTAAACTTTGAAGTATCCCAAGCTTTCTTAAATGCTCTTGAAAGTCCGCAAGTGTTCTGGTCCGTTCTATAACGTTTTTGAAATTTAAATTTGATTCTCAAGTGTGTTTTACAATGTTTTTAAAAGCTCCAATTTGTCTGAAACAAATGCAGGATGATTGAAAATTGAATTGAAAGTCTTCTGAAGCTTATCAAAGTTCTAGATTTATTCTAAAGTCCTCTAGAGCGTCTCAAAATGCTTAAAAATGTTCCAAATTGCCACAAGCGCATTCTGAAACCTTTCAAAATGCTTTCTAAAGTTTTCAATTGGTTGTTTGATGCTCTTGATGTGCCGGAATGTTCTAGAAATTATCAGAAATCTCCCAAATATTCTTAAGCGCGTTTTGGTAGCTCTAATTGAAATTCTTAATAAGTTAAGAAGTAGTCTAGAGTGTCATGTAACGATTTTCAGGATATTCTAAAAGTTTTTAGTTCTAGATTGTTTCCATATGATTTGTGAAGTGTTCTGTAGTGTTCCAAAAGCTTCCTAAAATGTTGCCCAAAGTTAAGAAGTGTTCTGGTCTGTTCTATAATGTCTCTCAAGTTTTAAATTGGTTCTAAAGTGTTCTGTAACGTTTAAGAATGTTATTAAAAATTTCAATTTGTCTTCAAACAAATGCAGGAGGGTTAAAAATTAAATTGTTATTCTTCTGAAGGTTATCAAAGTTCCAAATTGCTCTAGAGTAATAATAATAATAATAATAATAATAATAATAAGTTTATTTGCAATTATAAAAAAAAGATACAAAAGCAAAAAAGGACTGGAAGGCAATAAATTGATCTAGACCAGCCCCTGTTGTTCCATCTCTATATCTACAATAATTATTAATGGTATCTACTACTGACAAAAAACTTAATTAAACCTATATATGTATACAGGCTGTCCGGCACATGAGTAGACATACGTCAATCTGAGATAGGTGGAGCCGTCCGCTATGCGGTCCACCCAGATATTTTGACCTGGGCCCTATATACCGGTCTGGCAAGTGAATATCTTACAGGCCAATTTTAATGCAATAGAATGAAATGTATAGAAAAAGTCTAAGGTTGAATAGAGAACGAAAACGATTTCCCCTGTTCCACCTCCAGCATTTCCAACGCTCTATGCTGGAGGTGGAACAGGGGAAATCGTGTTCGCTCTTTATTTAATCTTAGACTTTTTCTAGACATACCTGTATATATACATACATACGCACACATAATACACATACGTACCTATATACAGGGTGTCCCAGGGAAAACAGTCTACCCCAATTTATCGGATTTGAAATGAAAGTCTGGAAAAACGCTCGGACACATCGATTTTTGATTTGACGGGGAATTATTTTTCAGTATTTGTCATCCCCCTAGCTTCAACCCTATAGCTAGCGGCAGAACAACCCCCCAAATTTGAATAGGGAAGAGGGGTCGTGTCATACCTCTTTTTAAAGGACTCATCGAGTTCCTTATGGCCCTAAAATTTCGTCTTATTATTTTCACCCGTAACGAAATGACAGCTTTTCAAAATCTTGAAAATAGACAATTGTTTTGGTGGGAGTATAAGCGATACTTACCGCCCTTAATAAAAATACTTGAAATTGAAGTTTTTTATTTTTATTATTGATTAGGTGTACACGTGAATTGTAAGTATTTTTATCATTTACTCCTACTAAAACAATAGTCTATTTCCACAATTTTGACAAGTTGTCATTTCGTTACGGATAAAAATAATCAGATGAAATTCTAGGGTCATGAAGAACTCAACGAGACCTTCAAAAGGAGGTATGATACGACCCCTATCCCCTATTCAAATTTTGGTGGCTGTTCTCCCCCTAGCTAGGGGGGGTTAAAGCTACAGGATGAAAAAAATTGGAAAATATTTCCCCCTCAAATTAAAAATCGACGTGTCCGAGCGTTTTTCCAGATTTTCATTCGAATCGAAAAAATCGGTATGGACTGTTTTCTCTGGGACACCCTGTATATCCAAGTAAAATAACGAAATGACTAGGAGGAACAGGAGTAGGAACTTACATTGTGTGTTAACTAAATTTCTTCGTAGCTTTTCCCTCGGGTTTTCCATCATTATTGTTGTATTAGTAGCTGTTTTACCTTTCTTTTAAAAGCAGAAATATTTAAACTTTTCATGCTGTATACATTATATGTGTAGCTTCTCTCGAATATGGCAGTATGATGTTGTGGTGGGGTTATGAGTCCCCTAAATCTTAAGTTTAAGTTGTGAACATCAGTTCTATATTTAATCTTTACTTGATAGATACTCTGGTATTTTTAGGGTAATTACTTTATGATAAAATACGAGACAGTGTAACTTCCTTCTTTTTGACATATCAAGCCATTTCGCATTTTTGAGTTTGTGGGAGAACTCCCTGATGCCATATATAAATCTCAAGCAAGATTTTTGAACTTTTTGTATTCTTCGTTGGGTTGGTCGTTTTGATCTATGCAGGTTCCATGTACTACATCTCCAAAGGTAAAGTGGCTTAAAACAAGTGTGTCCGTAACTTGGATTTTTACTACTGTTTTATCAGGGTTTAATTTTAACTGAAGTTCCTCTGAAATGGAGACCAGTTACTGAAGGTCTTCTTCAATTAGATTTTTAGCTTCCTGCTAATTTTCCGAATTAAATGAAAAATAAAACTGCCTGTCGTCAGCATAATTATGGTCCCTACAGTGGCTTATAATATGTTGACAGATGACATATATATATTGAGAAAAGCAAAGGAGCTACAATTGAGCCTTGAGGAATTCCACTCCTGATTTGTGTCTTTTCTGATTTACAATTTTTTGTTTCTGTATATTGATAACGTTCCTCCAAGTAGTTTCTCATCAGTGTAGTTGACGCTGTTGAGAAACTTATAAAGTTGAGTATTGATAACAGTAGTTGATGGCTGACAGTGTCAAATGCCTTGGAGTAGTCCAGGAGAATCAAGGCAGTGGTCTTCCCCATATCAATTTCTCTCAGTATGTTATCAGTAACATCAGCAAGTGCAGTCACGCAGCTATGACCTGGCCTGGAGCCAGATTGTAGTTGTGGTAATATTTCATATTCCTTTATGTGTTCCCTGATTTGTTTATCCATAATTTTCTTCAAGATCTTAGATAGGCAGGGAAGTATACTTACAGGTCGCAAATCATTATATCCTACCGGCGTATTTTTTTAGGCAACAGTTTAACCTTCGCTACTTTCCATTCGGCAGGAAACTTACTTTCTAGTAGACAAGAGTTGATGATAAAGTGATAAAAGGAAAAAATTTTGGACAACACATAACTAACATCTGTAAGTCAATTAAGTCTGGACCGGTTGCTAACGAGGCTTCTTAGGTGTGTGCTTACCTCATCAGAAACAGTTCTGAAAGAGAAAAGAGATTGAAAATTTGTTTTTTTTTATATTTAGTGTAAAACAGCAGAACATCAGGGTCGACCTCGGATGGGACTCCAGAGAATTTAGGAAAGAAATTATTTATTTCCTTTGAATCATCCAGCTTTTCTGGAAAATCATTTTGTTTTGAGTGGTTTCCGATTTCTAATTGCTTCAGGCATTTCCAAAGAAGCTTTTAATCTGAGTTTCTGGAACCTTTCAAAATGCTCCTCTCATTCAGGCCATCTGTAAATTGACAACTGTGATTCTCATTCTCATATGCTTGTTTTTATTACCTACTGATAAAGTTCATTTTGTGTTGAGTTATTCTGAATTTGTTGGCAGATGCGAGGGTATAATATAAAAAAGTGATAACTGGTAATCCACACTGACTAGGGGAAAAAACTCATTTTAATTTTCAGGAGGAAAACCCCAGGGCTGCAATTACATTCAATTGGACACATATGAGTAGACAAGTACGAGTTGAAGGCGAAGTGGAAAAACTGCCGGTCCAAGCTGCTAATGAGTATTACAACCAGAGGCGATATGACAGCCAAATTTCATCACTATGCAGTGGCAAAGATACGAGTAAACCAGTTCCAAGCAGAGCTGTATTGCTTCAGAAACAGAAGTTTTTGAAGGAACTTTACAGAGAAGGACGCGTCCCCATGCCAGAACTTTGGTAAGTAGAATTCTAGTTAAGTATAATGCTTGCTTGATATAAATATGATTTTTCAGGGGTGGCTATTTGCTCAAGCCAAAAATGGTTGAGTTTTGGCAAGGCAAACACAATGGCATCGATGACCGCATCAGATTTCGCCGCCCTGCAGCCAATGAAGTAGTGGATGGCGTGTTAACAAAACCTGGAGAGAATGGATGGGTTTATGAGAGATTATATCCTTATATTTGAGAACCGGTTCTCCTATTAATTATCGCATTTATGTTTTCTTAATGTTATACGCTTAGTTGAGAACCGTTTCTCCTATTAATTATCACACTTATGTTTTCTTAATGTTATATGCTTAGATTTAAGAACCGTTTCTCCTATTAATTTTGGAAATTATGTTTTCTTTTCAATATTTTCCTAATGTTATTCACTTAGATTGGAGAACCGGTGCTCCTATTAATTATCGCATTTATTCTTGCTTCTCAATATCTTATTGTTATTATATGCTTACATTTGAGGACGTTTCTCCTATCAATTATCGCATTTATTTTTTCTTTTCAATATTTTCTTGATGTCATACTTTTAGATTTGAGAACCGTGTTTAATCAACATAAAATTTGAATTACACATTTCGAAATTTCAACATAAAATTTAATTAAGTCTGAAATTTCTACATATTCTAAAATCCACAATTTGTTATAAATTTGGCAAGGTAATCAAAGTATCACAAACCTTGTCCAAATTTACTAAAAAACCACGATTCATCATTCACAGCGTCAGTCACCTTAATTTCCGTAATGATACGGTGTAGCGCCAATGTTTTAGATACCTGCCTAAACACAGTTCATTGTTATTAGTTATGATAAATATAATAAGGTTCAAGTTGAAATGTACAATATAAATAGGAACCAATTTGATTAATAAAACCAGTATTGAACAATATTTTGTGATAATTATCCACAAAGTCCGTTTCAAGAGCTTTGTACTCGTTATCTTGGTTAAAGGTAACTAGTGATCTTCAGGGAATTATTCCTGAACGTCACACCCAACGTCACTACAACAAAGGTCCCAACTCTGTTCAAACCGTTTCTCCTATTAAGTATCGCATTTATTTTTTGTTTTATATTTAGAGGATTTAGAATTAGTTTTATGTTGTTATTTATAAGAATTAGTGAATGTTGCTTGATTTTTGTTTCTGTCAACCGGGAAGGCTAAGTAATTTTCGTTGGGTGGATCCAGTTCAATAAATTTCCCCACAAGCATAATATGTAAAATTTAAAAATAGTTGTGCAAAATTGTGCTAAATTAGTGTAATATGAACATATATTACAGTCCATGAATTTCCCGACAAAGTAGAATAAAATTCGAAAATGTAGGTGGGGAAATTTGTGCAAAAAAAACAAGGAGCATGTAGAGGCATTTCAAGTTTCCTTGCTCAAAAATATAAAATAATAATTCCGCTCTTCCCAGGGAATTTAAATTGTATTTATTGATATGTGTACCTATTTATTCATTTGATGATTTATGTCCAATACAGCCAATCAAATAAAACATCTTTGTTACAAACAACGAATTTATTAACAAATTGTCTAAATAAGGTACATACAAAATAATGTAAAATAAATAAATAAATATAGTAAAAATGTTTTTAAATCTAATAATACTGATTTATTTACACCAAGCTAACTTAATATTAGTGTGACGATAATAATCATAAATAAACGTCAAACCTGTGACAATTTTTCTCTTGTCCATTAACAAATGTCACAGGAGATTCTGATTTATGTTACCTATGTACCTAAAAATACTGGAGCCAAAAACATAGGTAGCTTATAAAAACATTATTGTAAATGCAAATTTTGCAAAACTAAAATATTAAATTAGGATTACAATTTAAACATTAACTAAGTACGAATAAGGTATAGAGGTGGTACCATAAGTTTTTACATTCCACTACACTTAATCTCTGTCGGACTTTGAGGGTGAAATTTAAACTCCTTTCTATACTCATCTAAAAAAACTTCATCATCCAAACTCTTAGCTAACGAATCAACAATTTCACTATTGTCGCAAGGCTTAACTTCGGTTTCATCTTCATCTAAATCCGCCACCAAAATAGGTGTGGCACCATCGAAAAGGTTCGACCTGGTTCTGGACCTCTTGTAGAGCTCCTTGGACACGCTTCTGGTAAAAGCGAATCTTTTGGACATTTGCCTTGTAAGAGGTGGTTTGGTGAATTCCTTCTTTCTGTCTGTAAGGGGCTCGAGAATTTCTGAGGCGTGCTCTGTTATGATTCTCCAAGCATGTTCTACGTCTTCTTGCTTAGCATGTTCAGCATTAACGCAAAATCTCAAAATGTATTTGTTTTTCACCATCGATGGAATCATGTGCAGTTTGCCTGAAGCATTTATATTTGCCAAAAGTTCTTGATTAACAGTATCACTGGTATTCAATCTAAAGCAAACCAACCCCAATCTTACATCATTCACGACTTCAAATCTGCTATCTTTTCTGACTAAAGTCTCAAAATGCTTTGCCAAATTTATATGGTTTCTAATATATTTTTGTAGACCGGACAAACCATATTTTCTTATAACAAACCATAATTTTAACGATCTGAAGCGTCTACTTAACGGAATACCCCAATGACGATAATCTATAGCTTCATTTGAGTTTGCATGTTGAAGATATAGTGGATCCACAATTAAAGCTGATGTGAGCTTAACTCTACACTTAACCCAAAGGCAGGAGCAATCAAAATTTACAAGTAGCCATTTGTTGGGATTTGTGTTGAAAGAGTCAGCGTATTCGATGCCTTTCAAATATGGCTTTAGTTCTGGACAAATAAAAGCATTGCCGGCGTATGCTGCATCCACATGCAGCCAGATACAAGGTTCTGCTTTGCAGATTGGGCCAATTATTTGAAGATTATCAAAAGAACAGCTTGAAGTGGATCCTAGAATTGTGGATACGAAGAACGGGAATAGTCCGTTTTCTTTATCTTTTTTAATAGCATCTTCCAAAGCGTCTTTGCCTAAGGACCCGTTTTCATCGGGGTCTAAGATTCTGAGTTTAACAAGTAAAATTTTTGCGGCTTTTTCGACACAAGAATGGGCCTCTTTCGAACAATAACCAACCAGTTTAGGCAAAAAAGCACTATCTTCGATGTCTTCTGATTCGATGAGGTTTTTTTTTAGGTATTGGATTGCTTGATTTCTGGCAGCCAACATGGAAATGAGGACGCATTCACTGGCGCTTGTCTGGATCACGCCTCCACCAGTACTACCTTTATTCGAGGTGATGAAGTCGTGGGGTAGGCCGATGGCTTTTCCGAACCAGTCCATGACGATGGTTTCTAGTTCTGTGCATGCTGGGCTTGCTGCCTGTAACAAAAGAAAACATTTTAATTTTCGATAAAAGATTTCATCCAACTGCTTAGTAGTTACTGTACTGAGAGAAATTATGTGTCACAAATAAGTAAGAAAAAAACATTAGGATGGTCATGTGATAAACAGTAATTATTACATCATATTATGTTTGCAACTTAATTGTGCAATATCATTTAGCACCTTTTTGTTATGTGAATTTGTAGACATTGTGAAATATCGAAGTAACATGATTTCGTGGATGAGCATGAATGCCTACCTAAATGTAGACGCCGATAGGAAACGAATGAGATTTTGGAAGAAAAAAAACTTCATAAGTATCTACTATTATGGGTACCTAGTTCTTGGTCTCCAGGGTGTCCATTTTCTATTGCTATTTCCGAAATGGTGAAAGTAAAATGTAAGTTCTAGGGCTTATTTAAAATAAGTTTGCAAATAATCAAAAACTGTTTTTTTCAGAAACACAAAAGTTTAGATTGAAAAGTATTTTTTCTTGCTCTATACTCTATAACGTGGAAAGCTAAAAATTCGAATCTTTGAATCCAAAGTTTGGTGCTGTAGGCACTAAGAATAGCATAGAGTGAAGAAAAATTGCAGAAAATGAGAATCAAGCTTTCAATTTTTTTTCTGATTTTTATGGCGATTAATTAGTGAAAGATGTAATTGTGCCAAAAAAAATTGACACTATTCATTTCAAATCCAAATCGATTTGGATCAGGAAACCAAAACAAGAATTAACGAAATTCTATATGACTAGAAATAAACAAAGCTATATATAAGTATTTCAGGATCCAGGATGCAATTTCCAATAAATCAAAATACATATTTTTAAAATAAAATTAAAGTTGTGTCGAATAAAATTTAGTAAACAAATTAATTTTGAACCATCAACATCTGGGGCCATTAGTGATGATAATTTGACAAAAAAAAAATATTTTCAAAATTTTTGGGTCAACATAAAAGGAAAAAGAAAAATAGTCCTTGTCGCACTGAGTGATCCAGGGATATAAAAATAAAAGTTTAGGTACCAAAATAAAAACCTGACTAAACCATGTTAAAATAATCGTTATGATGATGTATTGGGCTACGTAGGTTTTCATGTCGTCATGAAGTAGGTAGGTACAACCTATACATAATTAAGTATAACATTATGTCGTTTGTACTGAAAGTATACATATACCTACCTATTATATTTTCATATGTAATATTTTGTTAGCTAGGTGATTGAACTATTAAAATCCAAAACATGAAAATTCTAATTTTTTTAGAACGAGTTTGATTACTGTCTCCATCTAGGAACCTATGTATAGAATTTATGTATTAGTAAGAATATATCAAATTTCTATGACCATTAGGTCCTAAAAATAAGATACTTAAATGATGTTTATTTCAATTGTGATCCGGCACATGTTGTGTAAGTACTCACATTATTTTAGTTTCTATTTTCTACTTTCTCGGAAACAAAACAGTAACTCTATTTTTTTTAAACCGAATTTGATTGCTTTCTGTCTCCATTTAGCATCCTATGTATAGAATTTATGTGTCAATGAAAATAAATTTCCAGAATCCTATTGAATTTCTATGTACATAAGGTCCTAAAAATACGATAAACGATTTTAATTGCGAACCGGCACGTGTTGTAAGTATCGAAATTTTAGTTTCTATTTAATATTTTCTCGGAAACAATATTTTACATGCCAATAATTTCAATTAGTACGCCTACGAAGGGAGGAAATAATTATGACTATCAGCCAAGAAAATTAAAATTATTATTTTCATTTGAATATGAAACATGACACCCGGAAAAAGTGAATATATTCAAGTTCATGTTGTAGAGAAAATAATACCAACTGTATCAGTAAAAAGATAAAAGCCAGAAAAAGGTTTCAAAGTGAGGCAAGGCTTGAATTTATAAACTACAGTTCTGGGCTTAGATCCAGAGTAACTAATATAAAAATTATCCAAAACCCCATAAGGGTTTGAAAATGAAATCCAGGAACAACGAAATCCAGAGATTTGCAAAAAGCTACGAAAAGTTTTCAAAACATCCACTGGCAACAAGATTTAGCTGTTGAATAATTGACTTTAACTACGTCCAATATGCTTTTTTTTTTTGAAAAGTCGTATTAGAAATTATCTATTCTGGAAAAGCATCGTTTGAAACAAGCTGGACGTTATTCTCGTTTCTGGAATCTGGAAAATTAATTGTGCGAAAATTTTCGTGGTTGTCCAGAAATTTTATGAGTTCTGGATAATATGCCATAAATCTGTTCTGCAGTTTATATTAGGGTTATAAAAGCTCGAAAAGCACTAGATAATTTCAAGTTTACCCAGATGGTACACTGACTTGATATTTCTTTTGCATTCGAGTTTTGATTTTAGGTATCAACATCAACCATCTGAGGCAACAAATAGTTTGGCCATAAATTCAAAATGATTTTTTGTATCAATCTTTTATACCTGTCAAATTTGAGATATGTTCAGAAAAATTACATCTTAGGATATTTCTCAAAGTTTCCACAAATTATTGCAGAAGTTAGGTTTCTTTTTCAGTTTTCTACCCACCTTATGAGTTTGGAAAACTCGTTTTTTTCCACTGTTTTTCAACTCACTATTTTTTGACTGAAGCCCGGCTTGTTCATTTTCCCATAAACCTGCTGGTAACTGTCTATAGGACGAATTTGTTATCCGGCCGATCAATAGGATTATAAATTGCGCCTTTATCTTGCAGATGCCTGTATCAAAGAGCGCTTAGAGAACATTTGGAAGATTTCTGATAACTATTCCAGGACTTTAAAATCATTAAGGAACCAATTTAAAACTTTGGAAATTATTTTGAAAAGCTTTAGAATGCGGTAGCGTCAAGTTGGAACATTTTTATGTACCTATTTCAAGACTCTCTCTAGAGCAATGCAGACATCACGGGATGTAACTTGCTGGCTTGTTCAGAATACGCTCGTGCCAGTTTGGAACATTTCTAAGCATTTTGAGATGCTCTAGAGCACTTTGGTGGAAGAAAATTAGAACATTGAAAAGCTTCAGAAGACGTTCAATTTAATTTTCAATTCTCCTGAATTTGTTTGAGACAAATTGGAACTTTCAGGAACATTGTAAAACGCTACAGAACACTTTAGAATTAAATTTGAATTTCAGAAACATTCTAGAACGGACCAGAACACTTCCGAGCTTTAGGGAGCATTTAAGAAAGCTTGAGATACTTTAAAGTTTAGGTTTAGATCCAAGTTAAAATTTCCAGGATTATTTTGGAACGCTCTAGAACACCCTTTAAATCATATAAAACTTTTGGAAACAATCTAGAACTGGAAACTTTCAGAATATCGTTACATCACACTTCAGAACTAACTTAGAACTTCCATAAACATAATAGAGCACTCTAAAATACTTCTGAACTTATTTAGAATTTCAATTAGAAGTAGGTACCTACCTAGTTACCGAAGAGAGCCTCAGAATATTTGGGTAATTTGTGATAACTTCTAGAACATCCCGGCGCTTCAAGAGCATTGAGCAACCAATTGAAAACTTTAGAAAGCATTCTGAAAAGATTCAGAATACGCTCGTGCCAATTTGGAACATTTTAAAGCATTTTGAGATGCTCTAGAGTACTTTAGAAAAAATTGAGATCTTTGATAAGCTTCAGAAGACTTTCAATTCAATTTTCAATCCTCCTACATTTGTTTGAGACCAATTGGAACTTCCAGGAACATTGTGAAACGTGACAGAGCACTTTAAAATCAAATTTGAATTTCAGAAACATTATAGAACGGACCACAACACTTCCGAATTTAAGGGAACATTTTAAGAAAGCTTGAAATACCTACTTTAAAGTTTAGGTTTAGATCCAAGTTAAAACTTTTAGGAGTATTTTGGAACGCTCTAGATTAAAATACTCTATAAATCATATGGAACTTTTGAAAACAATCTAGAACTGGAACCTTTCAGAATATCTTGAATATCGTTACATGACACTTTAGAACTAACTTAGAACTTTCATAAACATAATAGAGCACTTCAAAACACTTCTGAACTTATTTAGAATTTCAATTAGAAGTAGGTGCTGAGGAGAGCCTAAGAATATTTGGGTGATTTGTGATAATTCCAAGAGCATTAAACAACCAATTGAAGACTTTAGAAAGCATTTTGAAAAGCTTCAGAATACGCTCGTGCTAATTTGGAACATTTTTAAGCATTTTGAGATGCTCTAGAGCACTTTAGAACTTTGATAAGCTTCAGAAGACTTTCAATTCAATTTTCAATCCTCCTGCATTTGTTCGAGAACAATTGAAACTTCCAGGAACATTATAAAACGCTAGAACACTTTAGATTAGAATCAAATTTGAATTTCCGGAACCTTCTAGAACGGACCAGAACACTTCCGAACTTTAGAGAGCATTTAAGAAAGCTTAAAGTTTAGGTTTAGATCCAATTTAAAATTTTTAGAAATATTTTGGAACGCTCTAGAACAATCTACAAATCATATGGAACTTTTGGGAACAATCTAAAACTGGAAACTTTCAGAATATCTTGAATATCGTTACATAATACTTTAGAACTAACTTGAAACATCCATGAACATAATAAAACACTCTAAAACAATTCTGAATTTATTAAGAATTTCAATTAGAAGTATCAAAAAGCGACTTAGAATATATGGGAAATTTGTGATAACTTCTAGAACATTCTGGCGCTTCAAGAGCATTAGGTAACCAATTGAAAACTTTAGAAAGCATTTTGAAAAGCTTCAGAATACGCTCGTGCCGATTTGGAAGGTTTTTAAGCATTTTGAGATGCTCTAGAGCACTTTAGAACTTTGATATGCTTCAGAAGACTTTCAATTCAATTTTTAATCCTCCTGCATTTTTTTGAGAACAATTGGAACCTCCAGGAACATTGTAAAACGCTACGGAACACTCTAGAATCAAATTAAAATTTCAGAAACATTGTAGAACGGACCAGAACATTTCCGAACTTTCGGGAACATTTAAGAAAAAACAATTTAAAACTGGAAACTTTCAGAATATCTTGGAAATCGTTACATGCGACTTTAGAACTAAAGCTTAAATATTCCGGCGCTTCAAGGGGTATGTTTGAAAAACTCTTTTGATTATTTTGGTATGATTTTTCTGTGGATATTTTCATGGAAATATCCATCAAAAATCTATCCAAAAACCAAAGTGGAAGAAATTGTGTGTCAACCCTGATTTCCTGACAGTTTACCAGAAAGTGAATAAACCAGGCCTAAGTAATTAAAATTCAAATCAAATATTTCTTTCTGCTGAAGAGGATCATTTTATTCGAAAATCTTTTGATGACTCATTATTCAGAAAAACTCCATGTATGCTAATAAGATATACTTGATAAATTGATACCAAATTGATTTATTTTCAAAGCAAATTCACTTGATCAATTTTTCTAGTTCAAAAATACCATAAACTAAAATTTTCGAATTCATTTGCCAATAATAATTGGTGATTTACCTATTTTAATTAATAGAGTTATTTAAGGTATTTCGAATTTGTCCATATTTGGACAACTGAAGCAGACACAACTTTGTATTGGAGGTTTTTTCAGATTTTGGGGTAAGGGATACTTATACCTACATACCCAACCTTACTTTTTGTAGTTTTTTTTTTGTAAATCGCTCACATTTGACTGGTAGATAAACAAAGTTAAATCATTACAGCAGAAGAAAAAAATATGCAATATTGAGATTGAAATTAGTCGTCCAAAGATACAGACTAATTCGACTTTTCATTCCCATACTCGTAGGTATAAACTTTGAATGAATGTTTTATATCTATCGAAGCGTTTATCTTACTCACTTTCACTACAAAAAAAACCATCAATGAACCAATGCTTAAAAAAATCTTTGTATGGATTTACTTAAATAAGACATATTACGAATCTTCAATGGATCATGCGTCATTCACACACGTTTAATCCTTATAAGAAAATAGACATGTTACGTGATATTTATAGATTTCGTTCATTAGATTATAAAGAATCCAATCTAAAATCGAAACTATCTACTAATATAGCGTTAAAATTTAAAATATCCGTAAACTGCGTAAAACCGCGTTGTTGATGATTAATTAAAAAATAACTAATTGTAAAGATTTATGATACTACAGAATAATGCATAATGAAGGCAAGGTTTCATGGTTGCTTGGAATTTTTGTAAATTATTAATTTACGGTTCAAGTCGAAAATGAAAAATTTTTCAAACAAAATAGGGATAATCTATTTTTTGTTGTTTGCTAAAGTTTCACGTGTCAAGGATTTATATGTGGAGCAATAGGAATAGGTAATATTTCATGTAAAAAGTTTAAATTTCAGTGAGAATTTTTCCAAGAGTAACACTTTATACCAACATTTATTCTAAAATAAAAATTGTTCTGTTGATGTTTGTTTGAGAATTAAGAGCCCATGATTTTGCCTGAGATTTGATTCCAGCTTCCGTTGGAATTTACATAGGAACCTTCCCAATTTTTTATAATTATTGTATCTCCCTGAAACCCTGAAAAAACTTTATTTTTACATGCTTTTAAAATAATTGTATCCCCGATAGAATTACTACTTGGTAAAGGCCTCAAAAATATTGTGGCTGAAATTAGAGTACATTTTTGTTAATCATTGCTTAAGTAGGTACTTAGTAAGTTTTATTTTTGCATTAATTGAATTAATTTTTATAAATCCTCACCCATGAAAATCCAATGCACCCAATGGCGTTCGACAACATATCAGCCAATATCGAAGGATAAGAGTTTCCACTTGGAAAATACGCATGGAATCTCGGATGCTGCCAATGAGTGATGCCTGGCATAATTTTCTGATCGACATCGTCCATAATATCGTTCCACTCTTCAGGTTCAACAGGTGCTTCCGAAGGAATTAACTCTTTCAAATATCCCGGCTCCAAGTTAGGAGTTACTTTTTGATTCGGCAAGTTGTCCATGTAGGCACAAATGTAGTCCACCATTTCCTTGCCTCTGGTCCTAAACTCTTCTACATCCATTTTGATTGAGGTTGAAGCCACCAACTATAACTCACTGTTCTCAAAAAAAAAAAAAAATCACGCGTTTTGTTTATTTTTATACACCGGCTTCGGTTCGCGTTATCGCTCGCGTTTTGTCTGATGACAATTATTGGCTCGGAGCTTTGGCGAAATCACTTTTATAAGACGGAGCTTTCGAGAGGGGGTTTTTACGTAGCACTCTTTGGTGTAGAATCCCTCTAGTTACGTTCGTGACGTTAACTACCGCATTCAATGATCGTAATGAGAAAGTCAACATCCTACCGAAGAAACCGACATCCTGTCTGGGATAATCTTTGTCTGAGCCAATTCGCATTAGGAAATTTCGGAAAAACCCCAAGATGGTCCATATACCTAGTTCTTTCTAGTCCTAGTAATTATATGAAATTTTTTGACTCCATCATGGTTTTTTTTTTGAATCTTGAAAGTAATTCTGGGAAAATGTTAGGGATGCGATCAGGAGAAGTTCCAGGAAATTGGTAGTTTAGCCGAGAAAAAATCTCGGGCTTTAGTAAGCGAAATTTTATTAAATATTGTTCGGGGCAGAACCTACCTACTTCATCTTTTCAGGGGTGCTGTATGAATATTGAAAATAAGAAACCAGTGCTGCCACAATTGTCGGTAGTTTTGGGAGGTGAAGCAAGAAATTATTGGGAAAATTAACAACACTTGATAGGTATATAAAAACAGATTTTATTGTATTTGAATCATTTGCTAGAAATGTATATTTTGCGACTATGTATCAGAACATCTACATTTGACAGAGTGTGAGGATGTAGCTGTATCTTCAAGCTGGTGGGCCTGAGTCAAGGGTCCTGGTTCTGGTGAGTATTCATTCGTGGATGCAATGGTGAGTGGTTCATCATAATCTGCTATAGGAATGATGGCGAGGTGAAATTATTGCAAAGAAGAGGGAACACTGTTCAAAACTAATGTAAATCAAGTGATAAATAGTGAAGGAATGCGTACTGAGTGACTGTTTAGAAAAATATTTGCGTTTAGTAGTCCTCTCTTGGAGCTGCTGGGCCTGGGTGGAGGGTCCTGGTTCTGGTGAGCATTTGTCATTGGAGTCCCCTCTGAATGGTAGACAGGAAACGCGTATTGTTTCGTATGTAAGAGATTTTGTAATAACCCATTCCATCCTCGAACCTCCTTAAGTTCACAGAAGAAAAAACAAACGAGGCGTTGTAGGAATAATTGACTTGAAGTATGTGACATGGGGAAACAATTCAGTGAGTTTTTTGATAGTAACAGTAACTGCTGTTATTTCTACATCGTTTAACCTCTTCTGCTTAAGGTATTCGTGTAATGCGGTCTATCTTCTGACTACGAGCCACTGCCCATTCAGTAGTCACACACACTATTCCTTCCATTGAATGAAACGTGTTTCGTCCGTCTAACGTTTGTACGTTGAAGTCTGCATTATCGAATACTATTTGGGAAAGTGCTTGTTTGTTTAGCACCATCGGAGGCTGCATTATGGCTGTTATTTCGAATTTCTTGGCTTCATTCTATGACGCACAGCAGCCCAATGTTGACAGCACATCGATCAATATCCGCTAGCCATACTTCTTGTACATAAATACAGCCCAACCGACCTGTAGCGAAGACAAAAACGAATGTGTCCTAATTGCAGCCATTAGACAATGTGCAATTGCTGTTGCTTTCCTGGACCACTCTGTTTTTTTTATGTAGAATAACAGCCTCAGTCTCGAGAATTACGTCTTTTGCTCCTTCCAAAATATCAGGTGGGGAAGGATACCTACCAAGTGGTGTTGTGAACTGGCCCACGTATATCTTCTGTGAATATAGCAGCTGCTGACTAGAGGCGACCACGATATCGCGCGGCAAAGTTGAAATCCGGATTCAGCACACTTGGAAACATAAGGATCAGTCATAAAACCTAAGCCCGGGACTTTTTATTCAAAACACCCTTTCCTGACACCGATTTCCTGGACGAACAACCTCAAATAATAAAAAACTTTAAATTTTAGTAAATGTAGTGTCATGCGGTTTTAGAGAATCCAAAATCCAATACAAATTGCACATTGAGTAGGTATAATAAAAGTCTAAGAATGTTGGGTTATATATCACATACCTTGGAAGAATTCAATAATATTTATTGTTTCAAAGAGTTATACTGTTCTCTAGTGCGCCATTCAGTTGAATACTCTAGTCAAATTTGGAATCAGTATATTGATATATGTTAGAGAAGATTAACGTAGATTTTTAACAATAATAAATTACAAATTAAAAATGCCAAAAGATAAAATGGACTATACAGCGCTACAAGAGTTACTCAGAATTGACTCGCTTGAACAGAGGAGATTTATAATGGATACTAGAATGATGTTTAAAATCATAAATAATAATGTTGATCGTCCTAAATTATTGGAACTGATTTTGTTTCAAGTTCCACAAAGGCACACCAGAAATCATTCTTTACTTCACATACAGTTTCATAGGTCGACCCCTGGAATAAATTCTCCTCTTACTAGAATGGCCAATTTTTTGAACAAAATAGACATAGATGTATTTAATGTAAACTTAGGTCAGTTTATATAGATTTATAGAAACGTTCTTTAAAAAATAAGTATACCTACTAAGATCTAGGAATAGGGTACTTGCATGGAAAATTAAATTGATTATTGTTTATTGCAAACTGTAGGAAACCGAAAAAAAATCGAGGCGTGTTTTTTTATTTTGTCCAAATATGATTATTTCGAAAGTTATACAAATATTGAGTTTTGTATATAATATGGATATACTGAGCATGTGCGACGTCACAACGTATTATAAGTTATGACGTCGGAAGGACATTTCAAAGCGTTGTATCTCCGTCAATTTTTGACTAACAAGAAAAAGAAAAAACACGTGTTGACTTATTTTTCATGGACTATCGAAATCAGCAATAAAAAAATTGATGCAAGGGGCCTATTATGTGATTACTACTGAGAAAGTATTTTTATTATTTTTGTAAATGGTATGTCCGTTGGAAATAAATAAATAAATAAATAAAATTGGATTGCATAACAAATTTTTACGAAAGATGGACACTGAAATGTGCAGGAATTTCCTTTCTTTCGTAAATTAAAATTGTATCGAAGTGGTATTCCCAGACAGCACAGAGACATCTGAAGACGCCCCTAAGATGTCTACAAACAACATTCAAGACGTCATTTAGACATCTGCTTATGTCTTCAAGAAATCTTGAAGACGTCGTATGTTACAAAACCCAACGTCTTTCAGACGTCTGCCTGAAGACGTCTTCAAGACTTAGATTACTCATTTTATAACTTTCCATTTTTGTCTATTCCAAACGATAGACTCTTAAATTCTTGATTTCTTTTAAACGAAAACATACACAAAATTCATTTTGGAAGAAAAACATTAGAAGAACCAGGAGTAAAACTTTAAAAAACAAATCAAGAGCCTGAAATTCTAAAATATGGAAATATTGAGAATTCAAGAACTTGGAATGAAAAAATTCAAGAGCCAAAAGAATGTTGAGGATTTAGAATAAAGAAATAAGAAAAAATTAAGAGCCTGGAATAGGAAAAATTAGACATTCAAGAATTTGAATTGAAAGAGAAACATTTTCTTGCTGATACATATTCCTTTATCAAAACTCATTTTATAACAATCAATTTTTGTCCATTCCGCTAGGCTCTCTGTTTTGGATGCTTATTGAAGGTTTGAAGTTCTACAGCAATTTAAATTCGCTCTTGAACGCCTTCTGAAAAACGTTCTGTAACTTTTGACCTGAATTCTAAGATTTTTACGCTTTTCGAAATATTTCTGGAGATTCTAGAGTATTTGAGTATTTTGGAGCGTCCTAAAGTGGGTTTCAAACTTCTGAATTTTTTCGAAAATGCTTTTGGGAATTATAAATCGGTTTTTGAATGTTTTGGAGCATTCCTAAATGTGTCTGAAATTTCCAAATTGTTCTGAAGCGCTACAGAATACTTTTGGAAATTCTGAATTGAATTTTAGGTGTTTTGAACTTTCCAAAAAGTTTAGGTTCCTAAGTGTTCTGTACCACATTAAATGGTTTCCAGAACTTCTAAATTAAATGAGAAACGAGTTATGAGGGAAGTTTTTGTAAGAATCTTAAAACTGTCCCTAAGATGTCCACAAACGACATCCATAAGACGTTCTTTGGACGTCTGTTTACGTGTTCAAGGCACTTTGAAGACGTCGTATGTTACAAAGCCCAACGTCTGCCTAAAAACGTCTTTATGACATTTTTCCAACTCATTCCAAAGACTAAAGACGAGATGTTTTAGAGACGTCTTTGAATCTCTTTTTAATACATAAACCATTATCCACTTTCAGGCGCGGTTGTACAAAATAGTTTGGCTCAGTTGTCTTCAAGATGTGAATTCACGACATCTTATGGACGTATTTTTTTTTTGTCTTTTTAAAGAATTTGTGTGCTGTCTGGGATTTCAGTAAGGCCTAAATGGATAAATTTGATAAGATCAGCTATTATTGATGTGTGTCAAAGGTCGAGAAGAGGATAATAAAAAAGAATATATTTTAATGTACCTAACTGATGATTTAGGGCTCTATATAATTTTCCGCAAAATAAAAATTATACATTTCTACAGTAAAAAAAATTGCCTATGTTCTGGAAGCTCCTTGCAAAATGGAAGCAATGCGTTCCTGCAAAATGGAAGCAATGCGTTTCCGCAAAATTGCACTTTTAGTGGCTTTATACAAACGCAAAAAAAAAATATGACTCAATATTATATCTGATTTCAGTTGAACAAAAAGTCAATATGCGCATATTATGATTGTGGTTTTAACTTTTCATCAACAATACTCAATGACTAGGCCATTTGTTATTTCGTAACATAAACCAGCACACAGAAACAAAAAGTATGGAATTCCATAGTCAATAATAAAGGTTATTTAGCGAATACGTGCCAATTTAAAATTAGCCTGAAAATTATGGCAATACCTAATAACGCATCGACACTTTTGCTAACTGTGAAAATAATAGTGAAATATGTAATAGTTTT